AGTGTATGACCTGTGGAAGGCTGGAAAGGCTGATGAATCCCTAAAACTGCAATACGATGTGGCAAACGCGGAATGGGCTTGTAAGAAAGGTATTGCCTTGACAAAATACGGTGCCTGGCACTTCTTTGGTCGCGATATCGGGCTCAGCGACGAGTCATCGTGGGAGATGAGGCGGCCGTATCTACCACTCGGCGACGCAACTAAGATGTGGGCTCTAGAAACACTTGGTGTACTCGAAGAAACGGAAAAGCAAAGACCATGGAGCCAATAGCCGCTGTAAAAATAGATCATTGATCAGACTTTGTAAACCTCAGCGGAATACTACCTCAACTAAGATCATTTAGCATACGTCCGCTACAACGACGAGCATCGAGAGCATGTTCAACAATTCAAGGACTCCCGTTACCAAGTCAAGAAGTACTCCATCATATTTTCTAGGTTTTCCTCTGAGAGGTGGCTAAGGTGAGACAAACCAGTGCGCAATTTGAAGTGCAGCCATTCATCACTGAGCATGACGATTGTGATTTTCAAAGCCATCCGTGGATTATGACGGGTGTATGTTGAGAACGAGTATGAAGCTATGCCTGGTCTACCCAACCCTCTATATCGTCTATTCTAACATATTTGATATACTGGCGATGGAATGTGAAAGCAATATGCACGCTTTCCTTCTCAACAAAGATGCTAGGATAGCTCAGCTCCCGATTGGTTTTCTCGATGGAGTTGTTCGTCATGCAAAACCCATCGCCTTCCTCAAGGACCTTCTCCTTCCATGTCAAGCCATCGTCGGTAGATACAGCCGCCGTAAGCGCTTTCCGCGGGGTTCCCCAAATCGCATTCTTTCCATTTACTGAAGCTTGGTTCGGCCTCTTGTCGTCTTCTGGTGTGATATCATCATAGAGGCCCTCTCGCTTGGCCATGTCAGGCTCGGCGGCGGAACGATTGAATACGATGGCCAGATTACCTGATGGTAACCGCGCGGCGCAGATACCGCTGTTGGGGTTCGGAAGAGATGTCGGCTTGGGAGGAGCCCAGTTCAGGCCATCTGGCGATGTTGAACGGTAGACATTGTCTGCCCACCGACTGCGGAAGAATGCTACATACTCGGAACCTTGGCTCTTTGGTGCGATGATGTTCATATGGACAGAGCCAATGCTGTCAGGCACCACATTCTCTGTCCACGTTTGACCCTCGTCTTTGGAGTAGAACACCGCAGAGATATCATTGTTTCCAATCCACCTCTGACCTGGAGTTGATCGGCAGTGGAAAACTGGAAGGACCCAGGTATCATCTCCGAGAACGACGAGAGGCTGGCGAACAAAGGCCCCGGTAACACCTTTCAGGGGATAGCGGGGCGCTGACCACGTCTTGCCAATGTCGCTTGATGTGCGGGCCATGACGATGGCCCCATCTTGGTTGCCGGCATCTTGAGAGGTGTGGAAGAGCCAGATGTCTTCAGTCTTGGGTGCTCGGAAGAGCACTGGGTTCTGACAGCTGCGATTGGTGTCGGAAGATATCTTTTCAGGCGTCGACCAGGAAGTTGCGTCAGGCTCTTGACGAGACAGCCAGATGCTGATATCCGGGAGGCCTTCCTGGGAGCCCCCGAACCACGCGCATAGTACGGTTTTGTTGGGTAGTTGAAGTAGGTTGGAGGCATGGGACTGAACTGTTGCCGCGGGGATGGCGGCAGTCTGCAGGTTCGGGGACATGGTAGGCTTGGTTGTGCGGGCGCTTTGGTAAGAGATTGGGAATTTGAATTTTATCTAGCCCGATAATAGGGAAATGGCCGAAGAGTGTCCGAACTAGGAGATTGTCTAGCATCAGTACAGCCATCAGGTCTGGTATTATCACCCTGTAGAGCCAGGTTGAGTCTACATGTATGTCTTGAGTCGAACCACGTTTGCCAAGTACGACTTCGATACGCACCTGTCCTCCCATGCTTCCCCGCAATCAACCACCTTCGCGCGCCGGCGCGATTTCCGGCCCCGCAATTCATAACCTCCCGGGAAGCCCCCGTCCATGCTCCGTGTCACAGGCGTTTGGAGAGTTCTGGGCTAGGACAAGTCTCCGAATTTCCTATTCCGTCCAAGGGTAACGAAACAACACTCACAGCCACGAGAAAAGCAGTTCAGGGTATTGTCGGTCTTCCTGAAAACGGGGCAAGTCAGAGATTGAGCAGGCGACGATCAATCACTGTCGAATAGCAACACGATGCAACCTGATGACACCTCATGACTACGGCCTTCTCCCCGATAATAGCATTGGTTGATTTCCCAATAGGCGCCCCCATGCATCCATGGCTCGAGAAATGCTGTGGATTACGCGGGGTAATTCGGCTCTTGGAACTGCTCCCCACTGGGGAAGGTGAGTGCTAGGGCCAGTTCGTGAATTGGCACCGGGGTCGAGTCAGTTTATCCGGGTATTTGATACATTTAGAACCTTCTTGTTGGCTTGATCTAAAACCAAGAGAGAGCCGATGGTATAGAGTTCCTGGCTCAACGAACTCGCTTCTTGCAACAAGCCACTCAACTCCTATCGACTTTCGTCGGAATACTCTCTTCGACAATGGGCGGTGGAACATCACTGTGGGCTTCGCCCGACTGGAAGAAGGATCCAAAGGAGATCTTCAACTCCAAGCTTCTTCTCTTGGGCATCACAATAGCTTTTGCGGGATGCTCATACGGTTTTGACCAAGGGAATATCGGAGGCATCATGACGTTTCCGTCCTTCCGGCGAGCCTTTGGGTTCGATACGATAAGTGAAGAAGAAGCAAATACGAGAGGTAAAGCCTTCAATTGCTATCACTCTGTTGGTGTTATTTGTTTGAACCACTGCTGACGGAAATACAACACAGAGGGTAATATAGCAGCCATGCGTAAGTAACCCACCATTGATGCCTGATCAACATGTCCCCCTTAACATGCCATCTCTAGTCGCTGCCGGCGGTACTGCAGGCGCTTTGCTAGCAGCGCCTCTCTCCGACTTCCTGGGCAGGAAGAAAGCCGTCACGTCAATGTCCGCTCTTTTTCTTATAGGCTGCTCCATGCAGGAAGTTCCCAACCTTAACGTTCTCTATGCCGGAAGACTCTTGGCTGGTGTAGCCATCGGTGCGACCTCAATGGTAAGTACTCTTGTTACAACAATATCGAGACTTCGGCGATGAGACTAATGCGTAACATTCAGTTGGCTCCCCAGTACCTGGCCGAAAATTCCCCAAAGTCGATCCGAGGCTCTCTTACTACATCTTACAACTTGATGATAATCTTGGCACTCGCTATTGCCTTCTGGGTAAACTACGCAGTCAGCCTTTGGCCTAATCAGGACCCCGACAACAACAAGGCTTGGCAGTTGGCTCTTGGCATTCAGTTGATTCCAGGCTTCTTCCTCTTTACTCTTATCTGGTGTATGTCCTCGCTATATCACAGCCTCTTACAAGTTGTACCCTAAAAACTAACGTCGCCGTTAAAATAGTCGTCGTCGAAACACCACGAGCCCTTATTTCGAAAGGCAAGCAAGAGCGCGGACTTAAGAACCTGTGCAAGCTCAGAGGCCTGCCCGCCGAGCACCCATACGTACATCAAGAGTATCTGGAAATTCTGGCTCAGTCCGAAGCCGAACAAAGCCAAGCAAAAGGTATGTCAAGAGACAGAACATGAAACCACACATGCGCAAGAACAAAGTTGACCCCTACTCTTAGGACATAGCTATGTGGTGGTTGTGAAAGACATTGTCACCAACGCCAGCAACCGGCGGCGACTTTTCCTCGCCGTGATGCTATTTTTGTTCCACAAGCTCACAGGTAGGACCACCCAAATCATCCTTCGAACTATGCTGTGGGAGTAAGCTTACAGAGCGCGACTTTAGGCACTGACTCCCTAAACTACTTTGCCCCCCAAATCTTCGCCATGATTGGAGTACCCAAAGGCTCGAGTTCTCTTCTGACAACAGGAGTCTACGGAGTTGTCAAGCTTGCAACTACCATCATCTACGTTACTGTCATTGTTGATCGTGTTGGACGTCGTCTTCCCCTCATGATTGGAGCAACAATTCAAGCTACAGCCATGCTCTACATCGGTCTTTTCCTCCGCTTTTCAGATGTTCAACCTGGCAGTGGAACAACTCCGGGTGGCATTGTGGGTATCATCATGTGAGCGACTTGAAGCGTGCACCCTCAAAGAGATTGCTGTCTAATACGAAACCAGGATCTACCTCTACGCCTTCGGCTGGTCTTTCGGGCACTCGGTAGCACCATATGTCGTAGCCGCCGAAATCTTCCCCTCGCGAGTTCGTTCGGTATGCATGTCCTGCTGCCTCTTCACAAACTGGATCGTCAACTACGGTATAACCTCTGCTACACCACATATGTTGAGTACCATGAAGTACGGCACGTTCTTGTTCTTCTCCATCATGACATACATAGGTGTTATCTTCGTATTCTTCTGTCTTCCCGAGCTCAAGGGCCGAAGCATCGAGTCTATGGACGATCTCTTTGCTCACTCACTCTGGACTATGTTCAAGCGCGCCTACCCCAACGAGGATGAAAAGGTCAGGCATGATGTTCAAGAGCAACTGCAGCACGAGGAGGACAAAGTTGTGTCTCATGTAACGATGGTTGAGGATAATGGCAGGCGTGCTTGAACGACCTGCGCCTACCTCATGATTTGGGAATTTGAAGCACAATTATGATTTACGGACAAATGGCTACGTTGTTCTAGGAATTATACAAATCATTCATGGTTAATTAAGCAGCAAATTCAGGGTCAGGACTCTCTGCAGTGATTACCTCTTAGGCTACGGAAGTCTTCCGCAGCGTAACCTTTCAGTCGAACCCCTGAGCCAGTAACTGTTGAGGGCCATCGGCCGTTAGATATAACCCATATCCAACGAGTCCTAATCCTCTCTAGCAAATAACACTCGGCCAATGCCTAAGACCCCTCAGCCAAGTCCTTTCCAAGAGCCACGTCCATGACAGCAAAGTGAGGTAAGCACACAGATTCACTTCACTTCAGTGTGACATCACAACGATGACCGACCGGACTAATAAGCCAAACATTGCGCATGTTCATCACATCGTCGGTCATGTCGTCAGCTAGTCTTATGCCTCGACATTCGCGGAAGAATATTGCGACGGCGAGTCGCAGCTCCATGCGAGCCAAGTGTGCTCCAATACAAACCCGAGTCCCGGCCCCCCAAGGAGACAGCGACCGTTTCTGCTCTTTGGTCAATCCTCCGTTCAGAAACCGAGTCGCGTCAAATCTGCGCAGGTATCAGATTGATTTGCTCATTTGACGATCTCGCGGCACATGTCATGCTTCTTACCTCTCAGGGTGTGAAAAGACTTCGGGGTTACGGTGGAGTGTGTACGCCTGCGTCTCTACAATTGTGCCACCTGGAATGAAGTATGTACCCAACCTCACACCACCCGGAGGTACAGACCTAGGCAGGTTACCCGCCACCGCCCCGTACACGCGCAACGTTTCTTCGATAATGGCGTTGAGAAGTGGCAGTATTTCGAGAGCGGTATCGTTGAGCTCGTCGTCTCTGAGGTTGTCGAGCTCCACTTCGAGGCTTTGACGGAGAGCCGGTCTCTTGAGCACCACCCAGATGAGGTAGGTCAGTGTGATGGAGGTGGTGTCTGAGCCTGCCACGATGAGGTTCGTCGCTTCTGACTTCAACTTTTCCGGGGTCAAGTTGTACTCGATCTTTTCATCACTCGCAGCTTGCATGTTGCTAAACAAGTTTGCGGAATGCCCGTTGCCTTGGTGGCTACTTGTGGCCATGTTGGCATATTCGCCGATGATTTGCCCAGCGTTGGCAAGCTGCTTGGGGTACTGAAAGGGGAGGAATTGTGCGAGATAGAATAGCAAAGGCACTTCGCGTCGAAACATTGAAGCTGTGAAGAGCATTTCCAGGGCGTTTATGTAGGAGCTTTTCTGATAGAATTTAGCGTCACGAATGGACGAGATTGGATAAACTGACCTCGCCGAGTTCTAGTGTCTTGAAGGACTCGCCAAAAGACAGGTGGGCAATAACGTCCGTCGTCATGAGCATCCACCACTTGAGAATATTGGCTTTGCCCTTCAAAGCATCCACGCGGATGTGGTCGACGGCCATTTCTACCTTCTCTCGAACAACCGGCTCCCAGTTCTCACGCAACGAGTTGCTTGTAAAGGCTCTGGCAAACAGCTTACGTCTCACAGCATGCTCCTTGGGATCGGTAATGAAAACGATACCCGGCTCGCGCCCAGCCGTGACCTCCGAGTACCATGGCCCTTTAGTGAAGCCAGATCCAATCTTGTGGATTGCATTAAACGAGTCGGGGTCTGCGATTGCGACTTCTGTTGGCGAGATCCGTACAACTAATCCATACTTCTGGTGAAGAGAGTGTACGTAGTGCATCCGACGACCTACGAGAACATGATACTTGAGAGAAAAGTTGACGAAGCGAGTATGCCACGGGCCAGGTACATGAGCAATTGAGCAAGTCAGTCCCCTGAGAAGAACCTGTGCGCAAACCCATCAGCATATCTTGAGTCGAGAGAAACGCCCCATCCAAACGGATGAGGGTAACTTTTTACTGACAAAAGCGAAGAAGACAACGCAAAGCGCGGCGAAGGTGTAACCAGCATTTGCGAAATTGAGAAGCGGCATAGCTAATCCTCTTGATATGGTGCTGTGGTTGACCGCGCTGGTATGAATTTGATTTCTGAAAATAAGGTACGCAAGTCAATTATTGGATGCACCTGTCAATCGGAAGAACGGGCTAGGGAGACGGGCTATAGGAACGAGCCGGAATCCATCATTGACTTTTAAGTAGTGAGGCGGCTCCCGTCCGGCGAGGCTCCCTGCTCATGATTACTCAACGCATACCGAGTACAGGTTATATATCTTCCGTGTCGTACTACGGGTCACATGTAGGTGACGTAGGTGGTTCAGGATAGATTCCTAGTCAGACACACCGCCGGACGTTGTTTGTCAGATGCCCGTCTTGGTTTAGTGACAGCTCTCCTTTCCCGGCCAGAACATCAGAGGCCTTCGCGGGTAAGCATTGCCCAGTTCTGAGGGCGTATAGAATCTAACTTTTTCGATTTAACTTTTACTTCGCTAAACTCCATGTGCTTCGATTACTTGACTATATGCTCCATACCTAATATTTTGAAAATTTCAGAACCAAAGGCCAAATGGAAAAGTTATCATCGTGTCCCTCCACCTGAACCACACTGCTCGGCAGTTCTGTCAACATATTAGTGGCAAGTAGGTATCATTTCGTGTCAAATAGGTATGGAGTTTTTGTGTTTGATAAAGACCAGAATTTGATGCGATCAGTAATCAGATAATCTGGAGTTGATTACAGAAAGACTCATTGCCGATACTCACCCAGGCCTTTTTTGATTTAGGTTTCTTAAGGACATGGTTCTACTTTAATAACCTGATGGTTAAGATCAGAACCATCGATGGCACATAGTGGTTGTTCGATATATGCAGAACTTAATGCCGAAGGCATCCTTCACTAGACCTATGAGTATGAGCAATCTGCTTGATTATTACAGTACCTTTAGCTACATCGTCTTTAGTCTAACGGATGTTTTCAGTCAGAAAGCATATTTGAGGTTATCTCAAGTAGCTAGGACAAAATCTGCATGTGATTTTCTTTTCGAAGCACTCACAATCCAAAGGAGCAGTGGCTGCGAATGCCTTGGTATTGAGAAACATGTTGAACTGTATTACACCTGGTTTGCACATCAACTTCTTTGATGCCGAATTAGACGAAAGAGAGCCGAATTATACGTCAAGGTAATTGGTAAGCCAAATCGGAAAAATTACGTACTTTCCCGATGCTCTCGGCCTACCTTTTTAGATTCTGCTGCACAATCTCACATAACTTTCCCGGCTTCGACCACTTATGCCGCAAACGCCCTCTCGCCATATGAAATCGCTGACAAACGCGAGATAGCCAGTTTGATACAGATAATCATCAAGTAGCGTAGCGCAGTAATGTGCCAAGCAGACAGGCTTAGGTCAGGCCTAGGTTAACTAATGACTGAAAAGTCGGCTGGGCTATCCACAACTACACATGTTTGTCACCCGCAATCAGCTAGTCGAGACCGGGACGGAACGGTCAATATGTCAACTCCTTCCATCAGCAAGTACAAAAGGCGAAGGGAAGTCACGATTTCACTTTCAGCTGCGTCCCAGAAAATCACATCACACTAAACAACTAATTGAATACGATCACGCAAAACTGCTCCCGCCTATATTGCAATGCCTGCCACCGAGCTTACGAATATATCGGCAGTCGAAGATGCGATCGGTTCCATCGATCCTAACAAACCGGTGTACATGCTCAACATTTTAAAATTTCACCCCGTCGCTGTTTACGACACTACTGCCCCCGCCGATATCCTCTCCCTACCCGCTTGTAGCGGTCGAGATGCATGGCAACAACGCTACGTGCCCGCCTTTTTCGCTCTCCCGACGATGAACGGGACTCGTGTCCCGTTTTCAGGCAGAATGGTTGGCAAGGTGCTAGGACTGGAGGACGATGATTGGGATGAAGTGGCTATTGTGCAATACGAGAACATTGGAGTCTTTAGAGACACAATCGCGAGCCAAGAGTACAAGCGATTCGTGGTGCCACACCGAGTTGCCGCCCTGGCTGATGCGCGATTGTTCGCTTTGGAGTTTTCAGGCTCTCTTTGAGTCGAGTCGACCCTGAGGCTACGGGAAGCCTTCCGCAATTCTTTCCGGCGACGTATGCCGGTCTTTAGCCCTTAGCTCGAGTCATGCACCCCGGCAATTGGCTGATAACTAAAGATAGTGACAAAGAAAGAACCATGACCTTTTGATAAGATAAAATGAGAAAAGAGATAAGTCTGTCAAGTAAAATCAGCGAATAAGGATTCCCGCAAAGACTGAAAATGTACTCCGTAGTGAGGGGCCGATGACGCTCGTCCGTGGCGGGGAAAGACATCCATACCGACACATTGGTGCTAGGACTGATCGGGCAAGTGTCCCAGTAATAACTGCATGGAAACTTCCGTTGTTTCTCCCCGTAATCCACTCACCGTGCTTGGGCCGCTGAGAGAGTCCCTCTTTTTCCTTCTTGACATCAAGACCCCCCCACGTGTTTGTTGTCTGTTACGCACAACACGCCGGAGTTGGATCGTAGCAACGTTGCTTGTCTGTTATAATGGAAGGTCAACCCGAGGCCATCATGTCTTTACATTTTCAATCAGAAACGCGGCGACGTAAGGGCTCCAAACACGACAAAACGGGATGTCTGACCTGCCGATATCGGTAAGCCCGCGTCACCGATAACCCTGTCCCGGAACCTCTCATTCTGATAAGTATTCTTGGAACATTAGGAGAAAGAAGTGCGTCGAGAACACTTTTCCCATCTGTGGAACATGCTCCAGGTTGAATCTCAAATGCGTCCGATCGACGGCTCGCGATGTAGTTCCGACTACCTGGGTCGAACAGAAGAAAAGCACACCGCAGGCAACTCAGGCGCTGCGACCATCGACGAGAGATAACTCGCATCAACCATTATCGTCATGTTTTCCGTTGCTTGCTTCACCGCCGGGCATGGACCAGGCCGAACCGCCTCAGAAGCGACAAGTTATGCGATACTACATTACAGTGTTGAGTCATTTCTTGACTGCAAGCGAGCAGTTCAACTCTTTCCTATCTGGTTCGTCACTTTCTGAATGAGTGAGACGCACCTGCGTATGTCTCGGTGGGCTGCAACTGACAATGAGACCCTTTCAGAGTTCCTACCAATGGCTATGGAGTCTAGCGTGCTTTACGATGCACTGGTCGCTTTTGCTTCTGGTCACTTGTCACTCTCGAATGAGTCATATCGAGTCTCTGCCTTGGAAGCACACTCGACAGCAATCACCAACCTCGCCACAGCCCTCGCCAGACCACAGCATGAAATCACATGGTACGAAACCAAAGCAGCAACATGCTTAGCCTTTGTTATAGGTGAGGTATGCGTGGGAGATAACGACGGATGGTGTGCCCACCTCAATGGTGCCAAGCTCATCATCGAGTCCGCCGTGGTCAATTCAAGCTCAGGGACGACCTTGCGAGGACCCGAAGTCTTCAAAAGGAGCTCTGAGGGCCAGTGGATTCTCCGAAACTTTGCGTATCATGACATGATTGGCAGTGTGACCATGCGGAGGAGGCCGCTGCTGGACTGCAGTTATCTGGATGGCATCACAGACGTTGTCGACACCTACCTGGGCGTCGCCACAGATCTTTTGCGCCATGTGGCTACTTTGAGTAGCATTGACGAAGAGACCAGACTCGATGTTACTCTGGGAGCTGAGGAGATAACCAGAAGAAAGGAGTTGTTTCATGCCACCTGCGAAGGAGTCGAGCAAGAGCTGCAAGACTGGCGATGTAGGTCAGATGCCGCTCCAGAACTTGCTGCTCTGGCGCATGCGTTCAGGAGCGCTGTACTCATTGTGCTATTCCGACTGATACGGAGTCGACTGAGTTCGGAGGAAGAGTCTACTCAAGGAGCAAGCTTTGAAGTAACGAGAGGGGAGATGCTACCGACAAAGATGCGGACGCAGGTGTCCAACATCCTGAGGCACGTCTCAGATATTCCGGTCGGGTCACATACCGAGTCGGCAATACTTTTTCCTCTCTTCCTTGCTGGCGGCGAGGCGACTGAGGACGAACACATAGATGCTGTCCGTGTTCGGTTGCAGATGACGTTGCAGAAACGACGGTTCCAGAATATTTCTCGTTCTTTGATAATACTAGAAGATTTATGGCAAAGGCGGCAAAATTCAGATTTGGCGGAGGAGGCAGACTGGACCGACATCTTGGATGAGACTGGGGAACATCTTCTCTTAACTTAGGGCCGATTATCGGTACAATCTACATGACTCTACTAACACGAGAGAAACGCACAAACAAAGGCTATAGCTAAATTGAGCGTGAGGTGGGCGACCATGTATAAACCATGCTCAGCGAGCGATGCTGAACCAATAATCTCTAAACTCACAACTAGATCTAGGAAGGCCAGCAAGATCGGAACCGGTCCTTACCCCGCATTAGGCAGACGCAAAGCCTCCACACACGCCAGATACGCCATGCAGATACGCCTTAAGCCCACATGATACCGTATCAGATAGTTGACCTCCAATCTCAACCGACGTTCAGATGAAAGCAACGATAACGATATGAGGTGGCACGCTCAGGACTAAGTATATCTCTAACCCACTTCCCGCCGATGGTCATAGAGCTTGTTAGCTCGGGTGTATCTGCTTTCAACGTCGCAAACCCTCGAGTACCACGTCTGTCTTATTTCTTTCCAATTGGCGGGCTTTGATAATCATGTTCGAGATGGCCGCTGCGTCGCAAAAGATCGTCAAGACAGCCGCCAAGCTTGGTTCAGAATTAGTATCAACACTCAAACCCACCGTGCACGGAGTTCCATCTGCCAGCGCAGTCCTCCACCGCTCACTGAAAAGCGCGCCACCACATGTGGTATCAGCAAAGGGCAAACATCTCACATTTTCTGATGGCCGAACCATCCTGGATTCAACATGCGGCGCAGCAGTAGCGTGCATAGGATCGAACAATGAACGAGTCAAGAAAGCCATGGTTGAGCAAATTGACAAGTTTGCCTATTGCAACTCTATGTTCTTTGGCCACGAGATTGGGGAGAAGCTTGCTGATGAACTCATTGACGGCACGGGCGGTGCCATGTCGAAAGCGTACATAATGTGCTCAGGTAGACTTCTCGGCCCCTTTGTAGTGGAAGAAATAACACTTACTCGATACTAACGCGCTCCCAGGCTCCGAGGCTATGGAATCCGCAATGAAGATGGCACGACAGTATTTCATGGAGTTGACTCCTCAACAGCCAAAACGGATCAATTTCATTGCCAGAGAAGGATCATACCATGGTACAACTCTCGGCTCGCTGTCAATGAGTGGGCATGTCGCGCGGCGGAGTCTTTTCCTCGATATGCTGCTTCCGAACATATCCAGAGTGTCGGCTTGCAACCCGTACCGTGGTATGAGCGAGGGTCAGACCGAGCAGGAATACGTCACTCAACTGGCCGATGAGCTGGACCAGAAATTTCAAGAGCTTGGCCCCAATTCTGTATGCGCATTTGTCGCAGAGCCTGTTGTTGGTGCGGTGAGACATCTTCCATTCTGTTAATTATTATGGCCTAGCTCTAACATTTTTTCCCGCAGACTCTGGGTTGCATTCCAGCTCTGCCTGGATATTTCAAGGCCATGAGAAAAGTTTGTGACAAGTATGGCGCCCTGCTTATTTTAGATGGTAAGAACACCGAACGCACTGCGCACGTCTCCATCACCTTGTACTGAGCGCTGACTTCCACAAAGAAGTCATGTCCGGCATGGGCCGCTGCGGCTCCTTGCATGCGTGGCAACAAGAGGGAGCTATCCCCGATATCCAGACACTGGCTAAAGGCCTCGGCGGCGGCTATGCGCCGATGGCTGGTATGCTCATCAACCACCTCGTGGCTGATGCTCTCAAGAACGGAAGCGGGTGAGACCTCTTCAGACTTCTCCTATGTATCATTCAAGGGAGACTAATCCCATGCAGCTCATTCTCACATGGACATACTTATCAAGGCCATCCTGTCGGATGCGCTGCCGCTCTTGAGGTCCAGCGGATCATCAGGGAAGAGGATCTCGTTGCAAACGTTCGAAAACAAGGCGCTCTGCTTGAGGAGCGGTTGCGGCACTACCTAGATGATCACCCTCATGTTGGTAACATCCGAGGCAAGGGCCTCTTTTGGGGAGTAAGTCCACAAGAGCCTACCTAATGCAATCTCGACTTTCTTGAGGCGCAAACTCACAAGCTTTTCTTTTGTAGATCGAATTCGTCATGGACAAAAACACAAAAGAACCTTTCCCAAGATCTGAGGATATCGCGAACAAAACTCACCTTGTCGGATTCAACGACTTTGGTATCAGCTTGTATCCAGGTATGGGAACAAAAGATGGTATCCTGGGCGATCATGTCCTTCTCGCGCCTGCATACACCAGCACAAGCGAGGAGATTGAGGAAATCGCGTCGAGAACTCGAGACACTGTCTTGCGGGTCTTCGAGAGCATTGGCCTTGCCAACCGCATTTGACCATGTTCAAGCACACTGTATGTACCCTCAATGTTAGATAGTAGTCGAGACCCCATTTAAAACATGACAACCAAACGACATGGTCAGCAGCCCGCAGTCAAGTACGTTTTCACTAAAGTCCCCTCAATATGATAGGATATGATAATCGATACCCTAAGGTAGTCGACATACCAAATTCAAACTAGCGGCAGCCTAGCCATCACACCCTGATGCGTCAGCAGGCTTCTGCACAAATATTTCATACCTTGTTCATTGAGCTTACGAATCTTCTAGGTCTTTGCCCCTATTTATGAGGGGAACAAAAACATCGTAATCTTGCTCGAAGAGCACAAGTAGCCACCATGAGCATCCATCCGAGGTGTGCTGGCGACGTAACCTTCAACACACTCGCATCCAATGCATTCTCCGAATGGCCGGAGTCCATCGCCGGCATAATATGCAAGACTCCACCCGTCGGCCGCAACAGTGCCCCGCACTTTGCGGACTGCTGCTCCGGCACAGTCTACAACATCACGAGCCCGACGTCGCCCGACAACAAAGCGTACCCAGTCTCGTGCGCTACCTTTTGTCAAATCAGTCCGAAGATGAATGCCGACAATGTGAATAATCCCTACGGGTTCAACGACCACTTCATGTGTCTCACCGACGGCACAAGGGAGCCCTCTTCCTGGGAGGTTGTCTGCGCCACAGTGACACTGCCAGGTGTGGCATGGCCTTCGACTTTTCCCAGCACACCTGTTCTCTCATGGAAGACGAGGTCTTGGACGACCGATATCTACTCGCGTATCAGTGAGGTGACGTCTGTCGTTTATAGCCAGACTGCATCGCCCACCCCGACGGTCACGACAGATATCGCGATAACTTCGTCGTCTCAAAGAGTCTCTATCTCAACGTCTGACTCAAGCGCGACATCCACATCGCCGACTACAGCGTCATCCACACAAACGAGCACGGTTGTGGCGACACCTACGGGGAGCGGTGCCGCCGACGGCGCAAGAATACATGCGAAGCAACTCATGTTGAGCGTCCTGCTCCTCATAAGCGCTCTTTGTCGCGCTTAAACCTATCATCTTGAGCGATCGAGTCAAGAGGGTTGCTGTCAAAGGTTTTGGCCATGTATTCATTAGTCGCAACGGGCTGTTCGTCGCTCATATCGGAACTCTCTCCTCGCTGTGACTCGCAGTTCAAGCTTAAAGCCAAGGACTAAGATTGGGGTGGCTGGTCACAGTATACTGGGTATTATGTAGTGGTCCGTGATTAATATGAGCAACTTTGCTTGGACAACCTTGTCCAGACATCAAGGTGAAACCCGACGGCAATCGGGATAGATTAGGTTGCCAAGCTTCAAGACAAGCATTCTTCTTGGCAGAAGGTACAAGGGTAATGGAAGCTAGGATGATGCTCAGGTGATTAACTCATTGCTTCACCGCTTGTTAACTAATGTCCAATTTGAGTTCATTCAGATGATCGTGAACGAAAGACGTAGAGTGAAATGGATTTCGCGTGTAATATTCCGGAGATATGATATCGAATGATTCATCCAAATCATTTCATTCCATCTCCAAACTTCTTCTAGGTACACTCAACGGATTAGTGTTACCACCTTGACAATACAACTCGGCGTGAGCCACTTAGAATCCAAGAGTCTGTCCGGCCTCCTTGGTCACAGCAGCCTTCACATTGGCAGATCCAAGAAGAGAGTACGAGTAAGGAGGGCTGTTAGCATTCAGCGTGCCGACTGATGCAGTGTTTTGGCTTTCACCACCAAGCACAACATCGATAGCAACAGCATACCTGTGGAGCAGTTTCATTAGTCACGGAACACCACTGACTTAAGGTGGCTCAAAGGAGTTGAAAACACTTACCCAATCTCCTTGCTAGACTCGCTAAAGATGGCCTTCTTTCCAACATTCTCAAAGACGGAGCTCTGGATGAGAGCTTGCGCGCCCATGCGTGTGTTGAGGCCCGTATCCATTGTGTCGTAGAACTGATTGTAAACATGAGCAGTTCCGAATCGCAACAGGGGGCCACGACTGCGGACGTTGTAGAAGTGATTGTTCGCATAGGTGACGTGAAGAGTTCCCGTATCCTCGGCAGCATTACTGTCAGAGTGGCCAACGAGGGATCCTTTGGAGTGGTCATGGAAGTACGTGTGGGAGATGGTGACCCAGTCAGCGGCGTGAGAGAGGTCAGTCAACCCATCATAGAAGTCCTTGTCGCCGTCGCGGGTGGCAGATAGATCGCAGTGGTCTACCCATACGTTCTTGGATAGCTGGATGGTAATGGCGTCACCGTAGTCTGCTTCGACCTTGCTGATCTTCATGTTGCGGACGATAACGTTCTTCTGGCCAAGAATGGTGAGGCCGATTCCCTCGAGAGCTGTAATCGAAAAAGTGAGCATGGAGGGGCTTCAACTGAGTAGACTAACTCACAGCTGCCAGTCTTTCCAACGATAGTTTTATCAGAGCCGACTTGAACTTTTGCCGCGCCGACAATGTTCCCTGACACAATAATAATTCCTGGGCCGGATGCGATAGCCGCGGCGGATAGTTGAGCGAGGTTCGTCACTGTGGTAGTGGTTCCCCCAGCGCCACCCTTGGTTCTGAGTTTCACGCGTTAGCTCAAAGCATTTTATAAAAGGTTGGTGTCATGTCGCCTAACCCGCCATTCTGAGTGGCATAACCAATGCTTGCTGCATCCGTGATAGCAGCCCTCTTGTTCAAGAGATGACCTTCAGGGTTCGTAGGAGTGGGCGAAGCCGATACAGCGACGACCAGCAAGGCCCAGGACGCGAAGCCGGACAACTTCATGATGACAAAGGCGAAGAAAGACGAAGTATATACAAGACAAACAAGTTTCACGACATTAGTGGAGCGCTGAGAATTAAGCGTAAGTTTGCGCAAACAAGCGGACGCTGATCGCTTATATGCCGATCGTTGCTAGACACAAGAGCACGATGATATGATTTTTCCACTCCACATCTCTCCCTACTCCTCTTCAATTCTCAAATTAATATGAAGCCAAGACATCCATCAGAGGAGAATACCAAGACCGATGCATCGCTGTCTTGGCATTGTGGCGATGTCTTCCTCCAATGCTAACCATTCCAAGACTCCCGAGATGCCCTCTTAGGTGGAATGGCCGGGGTATTTCAATTCCCCCGAATGAGACGACATCTTCCCCTTTCTCAACCGTGCTTCACAAAATTACCATAGATGTGCATAGCTGCTCGCTTGGAACAGAGACTTGCCGAAAGCGTAACGGACGCAACATGAAGGCTCTCTCCATTGGTCCAGCAATCTATTCGGTTCTCTTGTTCATGGGGCTGTCGATCCCTATTCACACGTGAAAGGGTGCATTCTGCGGAGAAAATTGTTGTTGGAGGAAAAATTGCCAGGGTCGGACGCGCACTCGCTCCAAAGCAGATGGCGGAATGACGCGCGGGGGTCCGGAGAGAACGTGATCACCTTCGGGGTGCTACACCATGTCGTCTCCACTTTGCCCCGAATTCATCGGGGCCGGTACGGCAACCGCATCGGTGGATCAAAATAGCGCGTATCTAGCGTTCGGTTCACGGTTCATAATTCTCGGATTAAGACGATCAACATATCTAGCGCCGACAGTGTACCGAAAAACAGACGAACGAATTTGGTAAGCAAGTCGGCGACTGACAAACAGTTGAGCTCTCACCAGAGTGCACTGCGATTCGGTGAAGGGTGAGACATCCGGCCAAAATCCAATGTGTGAGCCATTGGCTGGCATGATAGGCTTCTTTCGAACATACAGACAACTTCACTTGGTGGTGTCTGAGAGCGAACGCAGTCCTCAACCTTCATTTCGGGCGAGGACAATGACACGGCCGAGTCTCGCGGTGGTGGGCGTCTCGTACGAAAGGGGGGAAGGACGGAAAAGTAAAGACTAACGGCCGAATCTTCCTTCTTGGAGACTTTTTCTGCGTCGCATGTGGCAGCATGGACGAAGCAGAAATCCAAAAAGCCAAAATGGTTCGTCCTGCGTTCTAAAAACCATGGGCTTTGCGTGTTTCCCATGTGAAATCCCTCAACTCTGGGGAATGGGTGGGAGGGAGATGCTCCGAGCACTCACGATCCTGCTTGGTTACAATCACGCTGGCCAGAAGTAGGATCTGTAGCCCATTTTAGATCATCAAGGAAGCTTTGGTCTCAGTTCTCAGTCGTGAGGGCTGCGACCCCTATTTCAATGCTTGTTTTAAATAACCGATTGGCTGTTCAGGACTCACCGCCTACGGCTGGAGCAAAACGCCAAATCCTGTAGGAAAAGGGAAACAACAACAAGCATTCAGCGGCAACAGGGCGGCACGCTCCGGAATAGCCTGGACTGGACTGTTCGAGCATGCCGCGTATGTTCAAGTTTCACGGCATCCCTCAACGCTTTTCTTTTTTGTTCGAGGCTGATGCGGAAGGGCCTCGACTCTATTTTAAAATTCATCTCAAATCATCAGCTTACTTGAAGTGCACCTGCGACGTCGGGTGAAGTTGCTCCTCTGGTCAGCATTTGGTATTTCATCAGAAACAGCATGCTTTCCCGGTCAATTTACCATGGTCCTTACAGCTCCTGGAGTCTACTCTATTTTTGCAGTTCTTCCTGCTCTTTCCAATCGAGTTTACTTTCAAATCACAATTTTCTCAACAAACAGCCTCCTGCTCGGTCATTATGGGATCCGACTGATTGTCACCGAACACACTGGTGTTTCACCTATTAGCTTTGTGCTTTTTGCTGGTTGGCTTTTCCATCGCGAGTAAGGACGGCACTTTGAATGACTAAACTCTCGTGAGATTCAAGCTAAGCCAAGTTACAAACACGACATTCAAAGCTGACCTTCCCAAACATCACTTCGAACCTCCCGAATTCCCATGCATCTAGCAGCACCGCTGATTCGACAGGATCGTCTGCAGGCGCTTAAACTAGTTTGAGAGAATGAGATAAGATAGTCAGAGAGTCATCTCAAAAGTTACAAGCTTAGCAGCTACCAGAAAGCATGAACCACTCAGTCCGAGCCCTTGTTTCGACATTCACAGCGATTTTGCTCCATGGAATGAACACAAGCCCTCTGCCCTAACCCCCAAATCATCTGTTTCGCCGTATCACTCTTGGAATCTGCATTGGTATGAAGGTGAACAGCCAATAGAAGAGCTTACGTTGCCCCCTCGCCCCTGAGCACATAGACTCGAGCAAGATCGAACGGACCTAACCGTTCCCCATCTCTTGAACCCTGGCCGGACTTTTCCCGAAATACCTGTTCGGTTCCTTCTCATGATAGATCAAGCTACCGATGCAGGTATAAATGTTCGATTGCCAAAATTCGAAAGACTCTGTGGTCCATAAAATTGTTCTAGAAATGTTACAAACGTGCTGTTTCTCAACTGGCGGTCTGGACCAGCCGTTGGAATTATCAGTGTTCTTGCATATTTGGAGCCTTTCAGCTGGGTTTAGGATTCCATGCAATCACAAGCATATGTGGCACATGAGGTGGTGAGGCTGATACTCAGGGGTACCACGTCTTCACCAGAGATTTGAGCCAGGGTATGCCGACTTTCTCGAAGACTTGACTTTTCGAACCCGCCCTCTCCAACCTCATTCTTTCAACCGACCTGGGCGGCTGTTACGGATTCTTGCGCATTGAAAGAGGGTATCCTAGCAATCTCGATCGAGATTTCGCAGATCATCACCCACTTTAGGGGAATTTCTTACGGAACTCCAACTGTGTCGTTTTGATTCGGAAGGTTGTTCGCACTTTGTCCAACCTCATCTCTGAAAAACCAGCCACACGACATTGACTCGAAAGAAAGTCACTGGATCGCTGTGACAACTCATCGTGACCACATAGCAACTGCCAAGGGGGGGAACTTTTACCACCTGTTTGACACAACTTTCCTGCCACCGTTGTGTCCGCCTCGTCGCAGATGGGGTAGAGTGTCGTGGCATCAGTGGAGATGCTGCAGTCATCTGCAAAGTCCTGACATGCTCAGGTCACAAGGCCAGCCATCTTGCAAAGGAAGTAACTGAAGTGAAGGGATTCCCACACCTCATACAGGATGCCAATACCACTGGAACCTAGTCCGGGACTGTTCATGTCACTCACTTGGACTCATCGCGATGAGAGTCGGAAGAGCTTTTTGTCTGCCACACTTTGTCACGGAAAGACTGGAGAAAGGGGGCTGGCGCCCGTCACCATCTTGGCAGTCGCACGTCCAACCTCTCATAAGAGCACTTTCATTATTGCATACCATTAGTCTATGTATCGTCGCTGCTCATGGACAGATGACAGCCTGGGGTTAACGGCGGATGGAGGGGGCGCACAGATGAGAGTGAAAGGAACACGGGAGTGGTCATACAGCCATCGGATGTCCGACGTGGAACCGCGTAATACTCTACGTACTCGAACTCGCAACTTTCCGCTGCTAGCAAGGGAAGATTTCGGGTCCAGAGCTCCCACATGGAGGAGGACCGCATAGAACAAGGGTGTCCGAGCTTCCTTACGTTGCGGTGAGTGAGCTAAGCACATGGAATGCTAGACAACGGTTGCAGAATATTAATGGATTTCCCACTCTCGGGGTCGTCAAACGACCTTCTTTCGAGATTAAACGACGCGGGAAGGGTCTTGAGCTTGAACGGCGAGATGCAAACGGAATGAAAATAGGAGCCGTGATTTCCTCGGCGTGTGGCACGGTGCAATCGTTGAACCTGGCAATCCGTAATTTTCACAGACTGATTGACGCCCAGACATCTAACGGAGTTGCCATTTGCACTAGAACTCTAGTTCGCGACAAGTAAACTCTTTGGAAGTTACCGTCATTTCTTCCGTCTCCCGCCGGTTGTCTGGAAATCCACCCGAACAAAAGACCCAACGGCCGCAGGTGCGAAATGATAATCCGAGACAGAAAGACGCTCGCGAAAGATGGTGGTAGGCGTAAAGAACTGGCGTAGAGCCACACAGGGCACCGTCCCAGGTTCCTCATTTGGCTCCATCCAGTCTGCTTCTCATCCGAGCCACACCATCATCGGCTCTTCTCAAATCTACGTTCGTGTGAAAACTGCCCCATTTCGAATGACAAGGCCAAGACCACCATATCGCGCAATTTTTCTCTCGGACCTTTCGTTAAAGTTGGGCGATCATCTGCACCAAGGGTTAAAGGCCACCCGAAAAGCCAAAGAAACCCAGTGGTGATGGTGGAGCGATGCGACGTTTCCAAACCCCAGACGATGGATCGTCGTCCTCGGTTCTGAACCCTTCACGATTCAGCAGCCTCGTCCGTCCCGACAACCGGTGACGCGCCGTATTTCCCAGCCCTCAATTCGTCTCATTCGGCAATGCCAGGGCCCTAGCGAAGAAAAATGGGTTAAAGCCCCTCAGCTCATATCTGGAGTTCTTAATGGGTGTTCTGGAAGTGGCAGCTTAGCGTCTCCCGATCTTTCTGGGATCTAACTCCAGAGACCATAATCGTGAAGCTGTCATACAAGGATACTGCAGTCGACGTGTCAAAGGTGGTGCACTAGCGCCTTGGGTCTCCTGAGTTTAAACGTCGATGATCCCAGCTCCGAGTCCGTCTTAACGCCCGGTTTTATAACTCTAGACCCCAACCACACAGACGCCGCAATGCCTCATTTGCCTCAAAATTGGACCTCGTTTCACCCTGTCCCTTCAGCCCCTACACACTTGAGTTGATGTGATCCCATCACTTTCAGTCTGATTTTGACGTCACCCGTCCGGGATCTCGGCTTCAGCTTCCCCCCATATCCCTCGCTCTCGCCGGGGCACGCCAGCAAGCCTTACCCGGCCGCAAGATTCGCGTGCATGAGATCGGCTCTGGGGTTATCCATGACTTCCGCCCTCCGCACTGCCCGGTGTGCCGACCACTCACGTCCGTGGGATCGGTGACCCCCGCGAGCCAGAAGCAGAGCACTATGGGAGCACTTTGGGAGGACAATCGAGGCTCAACGGTCCCTTGTCGAACCTCCCCATCCCACCATTGCCTATTTCGCAATCCAATGTCCCCGCGGTCCTTGTCGAAACTAAGTCGGTGGCTGATCAGACGAAGGAAATCAAGGCCTAACTAACCGAAAAATGCGGTGACGTCGAGGTAAAGAGAGGGCTGGTTGGGCATCCATTTGAGTTTGAGAGCAGAGGTATATTATGCCTCCGGACACCTTCGGAACACGGGATCATGGTGCCCTTCAAACATCGAGCCCACTTGAAGACTAGACGACAAGACTCAAGCTTACTCGAGAGTCAAACATCTCTCAACAACGCCTTCACGACGGCGGACTTAACTATTCAAGTCCCCCCCGGCTCTATAATACTCCCGTCCTCGTCTCTGCGCTTGACACGCGACTTCGATCAAATCATGTCAGCTCAGCAGACAGGAACACTCAAGGCACCTGAGGGTGAGCCCTCTCCAGTATCACCAGCAACAGCAGTCGATCCCAACTCCTTCTCAGACGACGAGAACCCAATTCAATCACCAAGATTCGTACCATCACACTCTCAACAACCCTCAAGAGGCGGCTCACGTTCAGTCCCTCTACGTCGCACAAACACCCAGACACGGCAGAGGGAATCAGTAGACGACCCCTTGCCTACCGGCGTCTCTACAAAGTCCACACGTCCTCTGAAGGACAACGCCCGTTTCGGGGACTACGACGACGACTCAGAAACGGATCGCTACTGGGGAAACAACGACCGCCATCCAGACTACAGCGGCGGTCGTGCACCTCGGACGCGCCCTCCTCGCGCGCACTTGAACCGTCCTCAGCCGTACTTCAACTACGACCCCCAGACGGAGACCAAGGACTACTACGAGGAGACTCGCTCGTACGAGCCCGGTGACTACGGCGGCCGACCGCCCTCGCGCAGGATGTACGACGAGGAGATGGCGGGATACCCGCGCAGCGGTGTCGCTGTTCGCAGCACCAACGGCGAACAGGCTCGCATTGACTGGCACAATCTGTCCAGAGAAGAGAAGGCCCAGGTCATGCGTCTGCCTCTCACCCAGTGGATGAACTCGGACTTGAAGAACCACTTCGTCGCAAGTCTCGGCGAGCTCGTCGGAACTACGATGTTTCTGTTCTTCGCCTTCGCTGGCACAGAGGTTGCCAACATCAAGTCCGCTTCCAACAACTCTAGCAACCCGTCAGACAGCAACTCTACTACCGGAGCCTCCACGGGTTTCAACACCGGCACTCTTCTCTACATCTCCATCATTTTCGGCTTTTCTCTCATGGTCAACGTCTGGGTCTTCTTCCGCATCAGCGGTGGCTTGTTCAACCCAGCCGTTACGCTTGGCATGCTCCTCGTCAAGGCCATTCCCGCATCCCGTGCTGCTTGCTTATTCGTTGCTCAAATCTTGGGTGGTATGCTTGCGTCGGTCATCGTCCGCTTCCTGTTTCCCGAGAACTTTAACGTCCGTACAACGCTAGGAGGCGGTGCTTCACTGGTACAAGGTGTTTTCATCGAAGCCATCTTGACGGCCGAGTTGGTCTTCACCATCTTCATGCTCGCCAAGGAGAAGCACAGAGCCACTTTCATCGCTCCCGTTGGTATTGGTCTGACGCTCTTCATTGCCGAGTTGGTCGGTGTTCAATTCACGGGTGGTTCGCTCAACCCGGCACGAAGCTTTGGACCCTGCGTCATCACGGCAACCTTCGACCCGGAACACTGGATTTACTGTAAGTTTTTGCCTTTTTGACTTCTTCTCCCTCATGACTAGCGGAAAGCTAACCTTGATTGTCATAGGGGTCGGGCCTTTCCTTGGCACAATCATTGCCGTCGTCTTCTACAAGTTCATCAAGACCTTGGAGTATGAGATGGCCAACCCCGGTGCAGACGGTGACCCTGAGAATGATCCTACTCAGAACCCCGCAAAGCTGGCAGAACTGCGCATGTCCCGCACAAAGTCTGCCAAGCAAGGTTGAAACCAGACAATTAAAGACACAGAAACACGACAGAACCGGCACGATAATGAGGGAGAATTTGATGTGGATAATGATGATTTTTGATAATGATTTGCAACGTGTCACCAGGAAGTATCATCTCCTGGCAAAATGACGAGAACGTCTTTTCTTACGATGAGACACCAGAGCAAGGGGTGCCGCTTGACAGCGCTACACTCACTTCGTGCTGGGAAATGAACATAGATCTGGGTTTTCTTAGGAAACTACTTTTACGAAACAGTATGCTTTGGTTTCATAGCCTCGCAACTACATAGATCGCTATTGAAAGCGGCTCATAACCGATTACTCAATTCCTCTAAGAACAATTTTTCCTCGGGTGTGATGAACATGTGTTCTGGCACAAGCACTTCCCCGGGCCTCATAATCAGCACCGCATCTTCCCTCACTGTAGAATCACTTCTGCTACGCCGGTCAACCTCGTCAGGTTTTGGTTCCTGCTTGTTCTCCACATCGCACACATGGCGCCTCCAGGGCACGCGGTGTAGCCGAACATCCTCGGGCGACCACCAATACTGTGGGAAGCGCCGCTGGATATTGTTAATGAGTAATGCGACGACCAGCATTAAGGCACAGCCGAGGAGCACAATAGGCACCAAGAACCATCCCAAGTGTACGACACCGTCATCGACGACCGCGAGCAGTGCCGTCGCGCCAGCAGGGGGGTGAACCGTCTTCGTAAGCGCCATAACGGTCGTTGCCAAGGCGCATGACAAGGCTCCTCCAAGCCAGCGAATAGAATCAAAGTGCGGGCTCAGCTGGAACAGCTTGCAGATCGCTACCCCTACGACGGCGGAGAAGAGTTGGCCGAAGACTGAGTTACGGGGCTGAGAGAGGGGCGATTCGATCGAGTAGAACTCTAAAACGGCGGCTGCGCCCTGTGTCGGGAAGAGAAAACGAGTCAGCCAGTCTGTTACGTTACTGAGCGTCCATTCTTGGCCGGTGAGGTGCCGGTGTGTTGGTGTGGCAGTGAGTGGTCGGTGTCGTCACCCGAGAGGTGCATGAAACGGGATGAGGGAGTTGAGGTCCGAGCCTCTCCCATCCACCACCCCCTGACGGTACTGCTCCGTAACAATTTTCGGGGTGTGAAAGGTGTGGATACAGGCAATGTGCGTAGATTTCGAGATGAAAGGGGGGATAGACTTACAAAACTGCCCACAATAATGGGCGCGCCATGGTCTCTGAAGGACGGGATCTGGCGGGAGACGATGGAGACTACGGCGACGCCGCAGAAGACGCCAACACAGGCCCAGAAGATCGAAACGAGATTGCCGACATTCTGCGGCTTCGACTTGCGGTAGCCAAAGAAGTGAGAAATAGGATATGGTAGATGTTTCCAAGGAGGCGGCGGAACAAAGGGATTGAGGAACCGATCAATGTCGAATTCCCAGTTCCTTGGGTTGCAGCGCAACATCGGGTATTATGTGATCGTCGTTGCGCCAAGTCCGGGGTAGGACTGGATAGTATGGGGATGCGGAGCCACTATGCCGGGGACAGAACATGAGTTGCCCTTTCAGAAGCATGCAGAGTCGGGGGGGTATTGCTTTCTGCTTCTTTTCAGCAACCTTTCTTTCGTTCATTTGATATTTTGATCTTGAATGTACTCACGTATTCTTCGGCAATAGTTGTCGATGAAAATGGAGGTTTCCGTTTGCAACGGCAGCACAAGCCACGCACAGGCAATGGTGGTATGGTGCAAAAAAACGTTACACGACAGCGTGGTGAGAAGAGACTGGACCAAACAAGGGACGAGTTGACAAGTGACAACAACACGGCCCATTCACATTTCATTCAATTCAATCCCATCCCAAAGCCGACACGGGATCTGAGGATCTCGCATCAGCTTTAACGGCCATTAGTGCCGCGGAGATTCAGCATCTACAACGACCGGCTGACTGTTCGCTTTGGTGTTGACTGGGGAGGCCCCACGTCATATTTAGTAACAGAAACTCCCAAAAAGGCTTAGATGCCGGGCCAGGCGGACTGCCACCGGGCATATGTGGATCCAAAAACGGCTTTTCGAAGAGCTTGAGAGCTGTTGAAGCAGTGTTAAAAGCAAACTATTATCTAACAGATGGCAAGTCGCCCATAGTGTGACTGTCTTGGTCCATCCAGGTGAGCAGCCGTGCCGTCCTGGCGCGCTTTGCCTAGCTAGGCTCGGTAATGTCGCGGTGTTCGTTCGGGAACGGCGTTTTTCTGTGGGCAGGGTTAGCGATTGTGACTCCCCTTTGCCGCTGTCAAAGTTGTCAAATCTCCGGAGTCCCGGAGTCCCGGAACGGGTTGCTACTGTCCTAGAGCTCTAGAATAATTGACTACGTGAATGACAGGAAGAAGGAGTTTGTCTTGCCCTCAGTGAGATTCCCAGAGAAACTCAACTTTGGGTGTGGGTCATGCTTGTCGCTCGCCATTTGCAAGCCATGAACGCTATGGCGTGCTTCATATGTCCCCCCCGTTCTAACATTACACATGCTATTCGTAAACCTCAAAGGTGGGATGCCGACGCTATCAAAACTATCAAAACTGGTCGCCTTGTCTTCTAACACTCAAATACTGCTGGAAGCGCACATTTCGGGGTTTGCATAATGTCTCCCTCAACTCTCTTCCCCTGTCACCCTTGACGGCACCGGCCGTTCTCCTGAAGCCGGCCGCTCCCAAATCTTATACACACTGAGCGATCGAAATGACGTCCCGTCGCTAAGAAGCTTTGTGGCGTACATGATACTACCACCACATGTAACACGGTACAACCCTGTGCAGGTTGCACTGAAGCCGTGGACATTTCATCAAGACGCCACAGCATATCGCGACAGGCCGGGCTGTATCCCCGAGAAATATCAATCTAAGAATTGGCTGCTTCCTCCCTCGTTATCGCGGTTACAGTTACAACCACCCAGTCACACTGAAGCCGACATTTATGTTCGTATGATGACCACACGGCCTGGCAACAATAACCGATTTACGAGTGATCAGCCAAGACGACATCGAGGTCAAAGCACAGCTAGTCGCCTGATCTTTGTCCTAGAGTCGTTGGTGGCTCTGCTGCAAACCGTCGATGTTCTGCCCGCGATCGATGGACGCAGGAATTGGCAAACTATCATCGAGGGCTCGCGGCAACGGCGGTTGCAACCTGAATTTCGCAGTAAAGTTAGATTCATAGAAGTTTGGGGGCAATCCCATGCTCCGTAAATCTAGTCGATGCAGCGAGCATTCTGATATCGAGTCACTCGTTATCTACGATTCCGATTGCGAAACTTAACGAACGCCTATTTCACGCCAATCTTCATATTCAATTGATGCAATAGAACTTCCTGATGACCGATTGAGGTACGCAGTTGTCGAAGACCTCTCACTAACGCAAAGGAAGATAGCTACTGTGTAGTATACTTCTGACGAATCAATATGGAGTATCACTTGGCAATCAAAAGAAATTAGTGATCACATGGGGGTCTCGGACATGTAATGTTCTATCTGAAAGAGTTTTCATTTCAAGAAGATGTGGCGTTTGTTCATCCACGGCATTCAGTTTTAACTTCAAGCGCCCCGACAATATCGTTGTTCCGCGAGCTGGCAAGACTAATGTTATCAACTAGAGAAAAGCCAGTATGAGCCAGAGCTCATATTCCAAATGAGAAATACTATCACTGCCTTGACGACGCAACCCTGGTACTTTGTGCTACTGCCATTTGGAGTGTGGTATATCAACACAAAACCACGGTCAAGCCCCAATTTCAGAGTAAGCAGGTATTTCTTTGAATGGTTGACTAGTACGAGTATGAGTGGCTGGAACCTCAACGGAATCATCTTGTTGCTTTCAAGATCGATCTATCTTCACGGAGGCCGCAATCCTTTCTACGGTTTCGCAATTCATAGCCGTCTCAAGATGCAGCTGGGGAGGTAGTCCTCAGCAACGCTTCACTCCTCTGCCGTGAAGAGAGCTGATTTTACGATCATGTGTTTGTGCCATTAGTGTTTTCACCTACCCAACTTATCGTTCTCAATTAAGACGAAGGTATTGAAGGTATGTTGGGTGAGTTCAACGTGACCTAATAGTTGCGTCGCCACTGCCTTTCTTGATACATATGTGTCGATCTAGAATCACAGATAGTCAAGGGCTTATCCACGAGACAGGAAACTCAATCCTACATTTATGTATGGAGGTCTTTGTGACATGCTTCTGATCCCACAGGCGGAGAATTCGGTGCCTTCATTCAAGAAAAGACCCGAAGTAGAACTCAAGCCACTTGATGATTCAAGGGTAACATTCCTAACTTAGTCGGCCTTCGCTGTGAGATTGCCTAAAACGGATCGGGGTTTTCGCCGAAGAATTCGGTTACGGGGAATTTCCTACGCCCAAGAAAGAATTGGCAGGTCGTCGTGAGGTTAGAATAGCCATATTGACGACGCTTCTATGTACAAGGCGGCACCAAACTTCATGCAACTACGCAGCTATTACGACACCTCAATTAGGAATTCAGCACTAGTCGTAACCCATAGCTGGAAGAAATTGCGAGATTAAGACTTAGCATGCCTTTCAAACGTATTTCACAAACGTATTTCACAAACGTATTTCACAGGCCTTAGTTGTAGGGCTTAGTACAGTTGGGGAGCTTTTGCCCCGGAATGCAGCGGCCAAGCGCCAGGCCGGATGCGCCAACACGGACATCAGCGCGTCATCAAGCAGCCCTATGCGGCTGCGATCACCGATGAGACAGTGACATGATGGTGATTCATGGTGCTCAAACCACTTTCCCATATAAGCAATCAGAAGCAAGAAGGGCCCAAGGCTTTTGTTCAGTGACAGACGGATGAAATCATTCAATACTGACAAGCGCCAATGAGTCACAAGCGAATTCCAATCGGTGTGGTGAAGCGAAATAGGTTTTTAGTCTCATCTCGCCCCAAGGTCTCGTTCATTGCGCCTCAAACTCACTCGCCTTCTGTCCATTCTCGGAATTTCAATACGACGAAACCTCTCAGAGTCCCTGCAGTCATGGATGCCATCAAGGTGGGTTTCAATAGGAACGATCCCGGTTACTGAACAAGGATTGACGAAATGGCCAGAACACCATCGCGGAGAATTTTGGAGGCGCGGCCTCAAAGCTGGGAACTCACCAATTCAGCTTGGATGAATGTCCCGACCAGACGGGAAAGGTAGCCGTCGTCACCGGCGGAAGCGAGGGTATCGGCTACGGCGTCACTTATACTCTCCTCAAGCATAACATATCCAAGATTTACATCCTCTCCGTCCTGAAAGAGGTTGTCGATGGCGCCAAGGATGCCATTGCAAAAGATCTCGGTGCTGACAAGGCTGAGCGTACCAAATGGTTCCAGTGCGACATGGGCGACTGGAATCGCGTCAAGGAGGTAGCCGAGCAGATCAAGAACGACACGGATCGTCTTGATGTCTTGGTGAATAATGCCGCGAGGGGTATCATGACCTACCAGCTCACCGACTACGGCGTTGACCGGCACATGGCTGTAAACCACATGGGCCATGTCATTCTTACGTCGCACTTATTGCCTCTCATCAAGCAGACGGCGGAAAAAGGCGACGTTGTCAGAATTGCAAATCAGGCCAGCAACGCCCACCAGGCTACACCTAGCGACTGCAAGTTCGAGAGTCTGGAGGAGCTGAATACTGATTTGGGTCCCAACGGTCAATATGGCCGAAGCAAGCTCGCAGGTATCTTGTACGCGAGGTACTTCAACCGTAAAGTCACGCAGAATGGGCACCCAAACGTGTTGATGAACGCCACTCATCCTGGATTTGTGAGCACCAAGATGAGCAAGGAGGAAATTTTCGAGCCGTGAGTTACAACCTTAATCGTCACATATCTCAAAGCTACATACTTACGCAATAAAGGTACCCCCTTGGAGGCTACGCTATGGCGGTTGGGATGGAGCCTTTCAAGAAGTCACAATGGGAGGGTGCTGTGTCTATGGTGTACGCGGCCGCCGCCACAAAAGAATCCGGCCAGTACATATGTCCTCCTGCGGTTCCTGAGCCAGGCAGCAAGCTTGCGCAGGATGACGCTCTGGCCGATCAACTGATGGAGTTGACTCGTCAAATCATTACTGAGAAAACTAAGACGTCCTCGGTGGATAAGGGGTGTCCCATGGATGACTTGGTTCTGCACTAATTAAATACCTGCATCACGTCATTTACTGAGTCCATCATCGCATGGCTAGATTTGAACATGAATATTAGTCTAATTATTGGCGAAATGTATGTTCGCTCGCTATCGATGGAATAAAGATCCTTCCCTCCTCCTCTGGTTTACATCACCCTCCAATCCAAAACCGCACCTAATCTCGCTTGGCGACCAGAGCATGCTATCTCTTGCCCGGGGGTATCTTCCTCCATCCGGACCCATTCCATCCCCAACATTTTGACCCATCACGCCATATCCTAGCTTAAGCTTCTTCACATCCTTCGGTACATCGCCTCTATCTCTATCAGGGCCTTCCCAATTGACCTTCTCCAGCGCTGGGCCTCTTGTGGCCGCCACCACACTCGAGAACCGTGTGTTTCTTAACACACCCCCATTCTCATTGACCGCGAACCCACCAGCAATCACGCCCATGATGGCTAGAAATATGGCGATCGAGTATACGATCCACAGATCACGTTCATGGTAACTGTACATATTGGCCATGCGCGACTTCTGGCAGGGAAAACGGTACGCCGAGTGATTACCGTCACCGCCTCCCTCGCGCAGCCCGCCAGAGACCTCGTCCGGATGGGCGGCCCACACGACGGGAAGAAATTGCGGTGTCGAAAAGATGGAAAGGATAAGGTCCTCGTAGAATTCCTGCACCATGTCCTGTAGGTCAAAGACGGGAAAGTAGTTGTTGCGCGGGTCGAGGAGCTTCGTCTGGATGGCTTCCGTGTTTGCCATTGGATTCGCGGATTGCTTGTCGATCTGCACAGTGCCGTTAAGGAACTTGCGGAGCATGAAGCCCAGGGAATGGTACGCGGCGATACGGCGGTATCGTTCAACGTCTTGAGGGACGATGTAGTTCTCTTTCGGTGTCGCAGTGATGTTGTCTGCTGTGCCGTCGTTTGCGTCGAGGCCGGGGATGTAGGTTGTGTTGATGACGGGTATGGTGAAGTTGTGTTTCTTCATGTATGCTGACCGTATGGTGTCGGTGTAGTTGAAGACAGCAGTGTATTCCGTCACATAATGCTCGCATGCAAAGATCTTGGGGATGTATTGCATTAGCTCATCTTCTTCCTTTGAGGAAGCCAGATGGTCTGCGTCAGGTGGAACGACGTGACCGATCCAGATGACCGGTTCAGTGCGAAGAGCTCCCATATGCTCAGGATAGGGCGGGTCCATCTTTGGAATGCCCCCAATCTCGACGTCCTTCATCTGCGTGGTTGAATACTCTCCTCCGCTCGTGAAAGCGTAGTACGCGTACGTTCCTTCGGGGATGAGAATATCCGTTCCAAACGGCGGAGGAGCCTGCCCAGACTGTTGCGTGAGGTTCGCGGGTGTCGAGCCGATGCCCCTGGCCTGTTCGCTGCACTTATATCCCGGGGCTGTGAAGTCTATCTCAAAAGTACAGTTCCAGCCCTTGCTACACACCTCCGTTGAGGCGTTTTTCCGCGCCACAACTTCCTGCAAGAAAGCTCCGAGAGTCGCGGTCTGTTGAAAGTTGGGACTCGGCCCGGTGTAGTAATCGAACCAGCCCTCCGGCTCCGAGTCCGCCGGCTTGGTAGAGTTCCAAATGGATAGCGGCATCTCATAACGGCCGTCGATCTTGATGGGCTTTCGCCAGTCATGAGTGTCCTCCCTCGCGAAATTTAGACTGCGAACAGCCGGGCAGGTAGTGTTTTGCAGAATAGTCTTGGGCTCAACAAGCAAAGTGTTGGCTGTGAGAATGACCACCAAAGGAGAAAGCCTGTGATCTGTGTGAGCAAAGTGCCTTCATCATTTCTCATCAACTTTGATCCTTGACTGCTTACCAGACGAACAGGGCCAAAGCAGCCGCCACCTTGGCACCCATAAGAAACTCCAAGTTCACAAAAGCAATAACGTTCTCCGTAGCAGCGAACATGGAATCCAGCGCAGCAATACTCATAAACCTCGATCTCACAGTCGTCCAGATCCGCTGCTGGAATGCCGATATCACGGCGGCGCCCAGACTTGCCTTGGCCGCGAAAGCCAGGATCGTGCCGTACCTAAGCATGCGCACCTGGTCGTCCGCGGGTTGGCCGTTCAGGGTGTGATAGTAGACATGGTGACCAATTGCGCAGCCGATGCCGAGTAAGAGCCACAAGTACATGTTCCATGATGAGTGCCAGCTGCAGTGAGGCCGTTTCATCCGGAACGGCTTGTTCCTGTCAGTTGGCGGCCCCAGATAGTTCTCGGGAACGTACGGCGGCGGTTTCGGCGGCTCGTGATCATGATCTTGCTCGTACTGCTGCTGTGTGCCGGCTGGAGGTGAGCGATGCCCATCGTAGACGGATTCTTGGGCATTCTGCAGCAGGCCGGCACGGGCATCATGGCGTTGATCTCCGCCGCCTCCGCTGCCGTGGTGGTGAAGCGCATCCGCATCTCTTGAGGAATCATCAGGCGACTCCCGGCCGTGGAACGTGGGATCAGCGCGGTAATGCGCCGATCCGCTAAGCGAGCTCAGGTCGATGCCATGCGTGTCCATCGGGCCGCGGTTGGTCGTCCTTTGTGTCGTTGTATCCTCCTCGGGCGTCGTCTCCGCGACATGAACAGTTGGGCCGAACTTGTTTGGTGTGAATAGTGATGTGAGCGGCACGGGTTTGCGAGGGATGGAGTTTGTTCGAGCGTGCCATCCCAGTTGCGGAGAAGAAGTTGTTGACTCTGGTGATACGGGAGAAATCACTTCTGATGCAGGTTGAGGAGCTTGATGAGGAGGTGGAGGTGAGCTCGGGGAGGATGGGATGGAGGATGCGCTAGTCCGCTGGCGCGCATCGAATCTGCCGAGGGGCTGCGGCAACGTCGTCATGTTCGCTGTCAAATGTCTGTCCGTATGGCTGGATGAGATCCAGCTGGAATTTCAGCCCCCCTTGATAGTCTGGTCCCACGCGAGAGAGACAAGACACACAATCAGTCTCACACACACACCCAAATTACCCATGCATGTGCCACCAGGCAACCACAGTAAGCAAGATCCACGAAAGCTTCCGCGCGGTTGGCGTTCCCCGTAGTCGGTCGGGTCACTGGCCTTGACCCTCCCTGGGATACAGTAATCCTCGTGGCTGTGTCTTGAGTCTGCTTTTGCTGCTTGGCCACGCGAAGGAATCCCTTTCTGCAGTGTCCCGAAGGCGGAGCGGCGCGCAGGCGTCGCAGACACGGGATTACTGATGCGTTTCAATCTTTGTTCTCGTGTCAAGAACCAGTTCGTCCAGTCTCTTTCCCGTCAATGATGATCCGGGGTCCCGGTAGTGTGGGTTCTTGTCGCTCCTCTGTGTCCGAACGCTACCCCCGTATGGTTGTCGATCGGCGCGTATATCCGTCGCGCAATGGATATCAAAACCTTACTTTACCGGAAGCCTTTTCTCTTCGCAAAGAATCACCGGCATGATCCATCTGAATTTTCGGGGACCAGTGGAGCATTTGTACACAGGGATGGGCATTTCTGAACCCTCATCAAACCCATGTCGGACCCCCAGCCCCCTTTTCCCACGCAGTTGGGACCAGCCGCAACATTCTGGGCCATTCTGCTGACACCGATGGTATGGGACGCGCCAATAAGATGGTACAGCAACTTTTGAGGGGCCACGCCGTAAAAAGTCTTCCAGGTTCCAACACTCTGACTGTTGGGTTTCTGCTTGATGTCGCCATCTGACCGGACTGGCGATCAATAGTATGCTGCCGTTGGAGAAGCTTAGCGAAGGATTCAACAGTCCCCGTTCCAGACTCTCTCGGTTGCGACGCAGGATACAGGTGGGTGGGCGGTGTCTGACTCGGCGACAGTTGGTCCCAAAGAAGAGCTCCGTTCCGATGCCGTGGTAGCGGACCTGGGTCCGGAAAGAGATCGGGAGCACCCATAAAGGGCCCTTGGTCGTCCTTTCTATCGTCTATCATTTGTGAGAGACCGCTGGTTTTTTTTCTTCTACATCATTTGAAAGGTCGATCAAACCAACGTGTCTTGTATGAAAGACCCATCCTGCGCAGCAACTCGAGCAAGCCCTGGCATCGCGGTTCCACGCGACACCCGAAGCCTCTCGCGCCCGTGTTATTTTAAAGGCAGGTTCTCTGATGAAGTCATTATTTTGATATCCCGGACTTAAAGGCGACTCGAAGTTCGTCATCAATCATCGCTTACAGTAGGTAATAACAATCGCGCCAGCTTCATGTGGTGCCCAGTCTTCAGTGCAGGAACGCCGGCCTAGGACAGGCTCCAACGACCAAGATGTCTTCCCCATCTCCCATCCTCTCTCTATTAGTCTGTTGGAAACCCAAACGGGCTATCCCTTGTGAATCGTTGACGGCCCACTGTGAAAGGTCTGCGCGAATCGCGTTTTTCACCATCACCTACCGGCCAGCGACGAGGAGGTTGGTTGACCGCCTGATTTCCCACATAGATGTGACCGAACAATCAGACAACCCCAGAAGCAAACATGGAGATCCCTGGCTGTAACAAAGGTAGGGTTCAGTCCCGGAACGGGTTCGCTCGCCACCAGCCATTGACGCCGAGAAGAATGGAAGGGCTTTCCCCGCACAAGATAGCGGGCTAAAAGTGACTGGTAGGTATATCAACAGGTGCAGGGGCCCTGCAATCATGGAGACTCTCAGCTGTAGATCTGTCGCGTCGTCGTCGTCGCTTTGTCTGCGTGTAAACGCCGTCGACAGAAAGTTGCGCCGCGCTATGTGACAGTAGCCATGTCTTTTCAAGAGCAGATCTCCAATATGAGAGGGACTAACGATGCACTATTTCCACCCTCATTGCACGGCAGTATTGCGCTCTTTGCATTGATTCCGCTATCGATTTGGTATCTATTGTCTTGGTACCGGTTACGGCACATCCCAGGCCCTTTCTTGAACTCTCTTTCGATTCTACCGATGCAGCATATGACAAGAGGTGGAAAGTTGAGTTTCATGTTGAAAGATCTAGGAGACAAATATGGCAAGACTCTCAAACCTGCGTATTGATCCCGCCCAAGCTTACCTTTGACCCCATAGGACCGCTAGTGCGCGTTGGCCCAAACGAAGTCTTGTTCGGCGATCCAGACGCATACCGCAAGATATCGGCGGTCAGATCGGACTTCACCAAAGGGCCCTGGTATGCTCTCGCCAAGGTCGTGCCTGACCAAGACAGCCTTTTCTCGATGAGAGACGATGACCTGCGAAAAGAGTATAGAGCGAAGCTGAGTCCTGGTGTATGTAAAAGCATACAATTCGCTAGACTACGTCGAAACTCACTCGTTCTAGTACGCCGGCAGAGAAAACGGTGGTTTCGAACCCGGCGTCGACAGAATTGTCGCGCAATTCGTCAATCTTGTCGAAACTAAGTACATCTCCACGTCAAAGGAATTCCGGCCGATAGAGTTCTCCCATAAATCTCAATACTTTGCACTCGACGTTGTCAGCGAGCTTTCTTTCGGAGAAGCTCTTGGATTCCTTGCAAACGATGAGGACTTGTTCGGTTACGTGGCAACCAATGACCTCATCTTTCCGTATCTCGCAGTCATGCTCAACATACCATGGGTAGGCATCTTTATGCAACAATGGCCGTTGAACAAGCTTTTACCCTTCTCAAGTGACGAATTCGGCTTTGGTAAACTGATGCGGTAAGTCGACAGACATCGCTCTGGCACTCATCGGGCTGTCTTCAACTCCTGTGAACTGACCTGTGGCAGGATGGCCAAAAGCCTCGCAGATAAAAAGCTGGCTGCCGTGACGGATGAAAATAATATGGTCCAACAACATCTCCGTAACGGAGTGACTTACAAAGAGCTCTTGGCAGAGATTTTTTTGGAACTGTGAGCCCCAGTCTATTCCCATCTCCAAACCTAGACATAGACATAGACTGACAATTGAACGAAGAATCGCGGGATCCGACTCTACCGCCACCGCAGTACGCATGATCATGCTCTGTCTGCTCAACACGCCATCGTCACTGAATGCACTGCGTCGCGAGATGGACCAAGGCATTGCTCAAGGCCGCATCAGCTCCCCGATCCGCGACTCGGAGGCCCGCCAATTACCTTACCTGCAGGCCGTCATCAGAGAAGGCATACGCATGTACCCCCCGTCAACGGGTCTCAACTATAAGCAAGTAGCCAAGGGAGGAACAGAGCTTCATGGGCAGTTCTTGCCAGAGGGAACGCAGATGGGAGTCAATATTCAAAAGTTGATGAGGTCCAAGGACACGTTCGGCTGCGACGCGGACGTGTTCCGGCCGGAGCGCTGGCTGGAAGTCGCCGCCGAGGACGAAGACCGCTTTCGAGAGATGTGTGGCGTCGTTGACCTTGCGTTCGGGCACGGTCGGTTCCAGTGTCTTGGGAAGACTATTGCGGCCATGGAATTGAACAAGATCTTCATCGAGGTGAGCTAGTGTTGCTTTGGAATATCCGATGTTTGACTTAAAAGTGGCAGAAAGCTGATCATCGTTCTTTAAAGCTGTTCCGGAGATTCGACTTTGCGGTTGTGACTCCTCAAGAGCCTCTCAAGCTTTATGACGCTGCTTTCTGGGTCACAACCGATTTCTGGTTGCGAGTACTACCGAGATCGAGCTAACCTTCCTAGTCTGATATGCAATGCTTTCTAGAGATTTCCTGGCTTGAAGATGTCTCGCTAGCATGAAATTGCGAAGCCCAAGATACCCATGTTTCCTTTGTTGTTGGGAATGTTGACCAAGAGAGAAGCTACTGAGAATTTGGGTGCCGGAATATGATAGCAAGTAATGTGATAGCAAGTCGGCCAAGGAGCGCGTACTCTTCAGCATCGTAGGATCATTACTCATTGAATAGGAATCCAGTCACCGCTATTTGAGCTGATACGATATTATATGTGCTCATGTTTGCTCCGGGACTCGGCGGTGAGAAGCTTGACGCTGTACCCCAATATTTACACTTTCCGCTCTCGAATTCCCTGAACACCATCCATGGCACCGGAACAGAGTTTGGCGGCAATCCCGATGCATCCGCTGCTCTTATCGTCTTAATCCTTGAAAGCTCATTTGGGTACGGTGAGATTATCGATATGTACTTACATGGATCCTGGCGGGAAACGTTCAGCGATAACACTCTCGGCAAAGCTGCCAGATTTTGACATGCGTCTGCGTCAGTCCGATGGTCGAAACAATCTGAGTGCTCAGCATTGTACGTAAAAAGTTTGGTTCGTGCGAGTTAGTCTTTCATGGTATGTGCTCAAGCCAATAGTTCATCTGACATTCGTCATGTCAATAGCCGCAGTCAGAAACCCAATCCAGAACTTCGGGCCGCACCTAATAGGCCTCTCTCAAGCTCAAAAGTCCCCTCGCCAAAGACACTCGTCATCAGTGCATAGAGAGAGATGGTGTCACTTACGGCACGCAATGGATCCTTCCAAAGGTACTTGAGAAGCCATAGCGGGATCGGCTTCGGTGTCGGCTTCGATCAGTGACATCCGGGACCAGGAGCTCGCTCCCCTCGGAGCGGGGGAGGGGGAAGGCAGCTATCGTTGCGGGGAATACCCATTGACATTTGTTTCCCCATGCTACCTAACATCAACACCTCAGTCATGTCAACGCGGCATGACTGCTTGTGTGCCATCAGCTTATCCACGGCGAACAAAGCTACCCCGCCGGCATTGCTTGGCGTACATCGAATTCTAGCACAAACAAGGCAGGTCACTCACATTTCCAAGCAGCTAAGCTCTCTCTTCCACGCCGTCTTACTGCTTGCCGTTCCGTCATCGCGTGAATTGGGGTAGACCAGTCTCGAAAGTACCATATCTCCCCCAGAAATCGGGTCAGCTTCTCCCCAAAGTGCCGGGTCTTTGGAGAAAGATATGACGACGTGCGTTCTCACTGCCTTGCCCGCGGACAGCAGGTTCTTCCCAGCCTGCATATCGCCAATGCCATCAGAGCAGGGCGAACAGCTCCAGAATGCCAAGCAATATTGCGGGAAAGTCTCTTTTAATGGCATCACCGGCCTTAGCGATGGCTGACGATCGCTGGGCATATTTTCTGCGATTCGATTGTGGGTGGGCTGCCTGCGGGAGAGAGCTATAACTGTGCCTTTCCGTCACCCCTCCCGGAGGCCGAGTTTTGGCAGAGACCTTTTTGTTCTCGAAGTCTGACCGTTGCCGGCAAAAACCACTGAGCTGAGCCTCTGCCTATTGCTCTACAGGATTTTGCCCATCATGCGTTGCCGTCAAGTCTTAGTCGCCTTGGCCTATGCGGCCCTCGCCTCGGCCTGCCAACGGGATTTCTTCGTCGAGAAGCGGCACACGCACCGCAAGCCCATCGCAAAGCGCGCCGACGACGTTTGGCCTCCAGTCCTGACAGAGGATGAGACGATCTTGGTCAATGCCTTTGACAATGTCACCGTTGACGAGTGGTCAGATTACTACGGCCACCAGGTCAAGCTTGCGGGACTCGGAAAGGAAGCGGCGCAGTGGACGGCGGACAGGTGGACGGAGAATGGCTTCGATGCAAAGCTAAACGAGTATCATGTCTACCTGAGCTATCCTGTTCATGCTTCACTGGAAATTACCTACCCTAACAGCACGACAAACAATGTCAGGCTCGATGAGGATGTTCTAGAGGAAGACGATGTCACGGGGAGGGAGGATAGACAGCCGACGTTCCATGGTTACTCTGCGTCAGGAAACGTGACTGGGGAATATGTTTACGTCGGGTGAGTGCTTCGCTGCCACGTCAGACGTGTTGAGCCGTGCTAATTATCCGTGAAGTCGCGGTTCCCAGGCAGATTTTGACCGCCTCGTTGAATTGGGAGTCGAGCTCGAAGGCAAGATTGCATTGGCCAGATACGGCGGCCTCTTCCGTGGCTTGAAGGTTAAGAATGCGCAAGATCACGGCATGATTGGCGCTGTCATCTTCACCGACCCCGGCGATGACGGAAACCAGACTGTTGCTAACGGCTACGAGGCATATCCCCGTACGTCTTCTACTTCCACGGAATATCTCAAGTCAGTGTGCTTACAAAATGCCCCGCAGATGGTCCTGCCAGGAATCCCAGCGCTGTTCAGAAAGGCTCCGTCCTCTTCCTCTCTACTCATCCGGGCGATCCAACAACCCCAGGCTACCCATCCCACGAGGGCGTCGACCGCGCAGATATTTCGCCCGTGACGCCCAAGATCCCTTCCATTCCGATCTCCTACGCATCTGCTGAGCCTCTGCTGCAGGCACTGGATGGATTCGGAGTCTCCGCAGAGGAAGTCAACCGGACGATCTGGGCTGGTGCATTGAACGCCAATTACAGCTCCGGCCCGGCCCCGGGAGTCACTCTACACCTGGACAACTTGATGGAAGGCAAGATCACACCCATTTGGAACGTTATTGGCTACATCAATGGCACCAATGCCGATGAGACGATTGTCATTGGAAACCATCGTGACACCTGGATGATTGGAGGCAACGGCGACCCCAACTCTGGATCCGCCATCTTGGTCGAGTTTACCAAAGCTGTGAGTGCTCTTGTGTCCAAGGGCTGGAAGCCTAAGAGGAATATGTAAGCCATTGACTCTCTAGCCGACAGGATGATTACAGTCTCTAACCTTTTTGTAGCGTCATCGCGTCCTGGGACGCCGAGGAGTACGGCCTCGTCGGCAGCACTGAATGGGTCGAGGATAACGTCAACTGGCTTACCCAGACAGCCGTGGCCTATCTGAACATAGACGTCGCAGTATCAGGTCCGAGACCCGCTCTCGCCACCACTCCTGAGCTACAGACCGTCGGCACTGAGATCTTCAAGAAGATCATCTACCCCAACTTTGGCGGCTTCAACATTAGCCTCTACGACGCTTGGCTGGAGTCTTCCGACGGCATCGTCGAGTCTCTGGGCAGCGGTAGTGACTTTACAGGCTTCTTGCATCGGGGTATCAACTCGGTGAGTACTTACTTTCCGTCGGCGAAAAGGCGCTCTAGAGCCCTCTTTGGGGGCGAAAACTGACTTGCTCAAGCTCGACGTCGGCTCTAACAACGGCGCGACCGATCCAGTCTGGCATTACCACTCAAACTACGACACCTACCACTGGATGGCCAACTTTGGCGACCCAGGCTTCCTGCTTCACGCCGCCATGGGCCAGTACCTCACCTTGCTCGCCTACCACCTCGCCGACGACGAGGTCCTCCCCATCGACGTACCGAACTACGCCACCGAGCTACGCGCATATCTCTCCGACCTGGAAGAATATGCTGAGTCTGAGGGCGCCGAGATCGATCTCTCCGAGCTCTCCGACGCCATCGAGGTCTTTGCGACGCGGGCCGACGAGGTCAAGGCTCTGGAGCAGCTCGCTGTCACGACGGGCGACGCGGATCTGATCACGGTTGTGAACCACAAGTACCGTGACTTCCAACGGGGATTCATCAGTCAGGGTGGTTTGCCTGATCGGGAGTTCTACAAGCATGTCATTACTGCCCCTGGCTTGGACACCGGATATGCTGCTGTGCTTTTCCCTGGGATCACGGAAGGCATCCAGTACGGCAAGGGCAACCTCACTGTCGCCGAGGAGTGGGTTTCGAAGACTGCTCGAGGCATCTTGCGGGCTGCTGATATCATTAAGACGTAAAGTCCCAACAGACAAAATGTGAAGGGCTCACCACGAGCGGCGCCGGGTACCGGTGAGAGTGGGCCTTGCCGTTTCCGGCCCTTCGGCGCTGATCGGGCTCATTTCGCCAGGGGTTTCTCCGTCTTGCCCACGAGAGATTGCAGAGAAGATTTTCGTACAATACTAATATTTAATGCGCCGTCACATGCACTCAACAAGGAATGATCTACGCCTTGTCCAGCTCATGTCAATGGAATTAAGTGAAACGATAATGTGATGCTCACCTTAGGCATACAACAGGTATTTCATTGAGTCGTGCACCTTGAAAGAAACTCAGCAACTTCGCGTGCTCCGCTCGTAGTGTAAAATCTCCCAACTCATTTGTTCTTGATACGTTGATGTGGTGTAATATTTCCAGGCTTCGGCGCCAAGATCGTACTCGTAATGTATCGATCAAGTCTCACATATGTATGAGGTGCGGATTCCATGTCACGATCGCAAGCACTGCATCACACTGTAAATGCTCGATTATGATGGTCGCCAAATGTCATTCATTGTATCTAAAAACAACCTGAACTCCTAACCGTCGTTTCTGAATCGAAGAAGCCGGTGCGTGCAACTATACCAAAACGCCCATGCTCAGTACCTCACGTAGGTCATGTCGTACTCCCTAAGAAGCCTGTCCTCCAGGCCGCCGCTTCTCGATGTTAAGAACAATGTCAATGAAACTGCGCTTGAGTGGACTCTTCTTCCTAGCAGCCAGCAACTGCGCAGTCTTGAGAATGTTCTTGATCTGTCGGCCATTGAGCTTTAGCTCAGACAATTGAGCGATATCCTCATCGGAGACCTCGCTCTTGAGCGTGGCCCCCTGCAAAAAGTTGCGCCAGATCTGGCGACGAGACTCCGGGGTAAGGTCCGGGTACTCGAGCGATACGTGGATGCGTGACTGGAAGGCCAAGTCGATGTTGTCAACGCGGTTAGTCGTCATAAAGAGGATGCCCTCGTAGTATTCAAGCGTCCGAAGGAAAATGGAGACGACCTTGTTGCGCTCAAGATCGTGCGTAGAGCGTGCCTCGAGGAAGACGTCGCACTCATCTAGGAGCAGGATCGCGTTCCACCGCGCCACGAGTTCGAGGATGCGTGAGAGGCCGTGCTCGACCTCCCACGGCTGCGAGCCCAGATCGCCCGAGCTGAGAGTGTGTAAGGGAACGCGGAGGTTCTCAGCGACAGCTTCCGCCGTCAGAGTCTTGCCTACACCAGGGGGGCCCGAAAGGAGACAGATGATGCCCTTGCCCTTGCCGGAGATGACATCGTCAAAAGTAGAGCCGTCAAGTTGCGACTCAGAGAAGGCGAGGATCAGTTCCTTCTGGTCCTCGGGCAAAACAAGCTTGTCGAAGGCGTTTGTGTTCCAGGTGATCTCGCTGACCTGCTCGACGAAGAAGTCTAGCCACTTCTTCAGCTTGAGGGAGTAGCCCCGGGTCCGAGACCGCGCCAGCATCTGGTGGTAAGGAGTCAGCTTGAGGTTGCCGTCCTTGCCCAGCCCATGCTGACGCTTCCACGCTGAAAGAGCCTCCATGTCCTTTGCGTTCCAGTCGTCAACGTAACGGTTGCGGTAAGGGCTGAAGCGATTGAATGAGTTGATGTCAACTACGATGCGGCCTTCGACCTGGATGGGCACCTCGTTGCCCTCGCTGTCCCAGGTGATGGCAGTGCCCGAGTACTGCTTGTAGTTGTGCCCAGCCAGCTCCTCAAAGATCTTGCCGCGCTGGATAAGGCTGGTACGCAGCTTCTCCTTTTGGGCGTGGAATGCCCAGGGGAAAGCGTTGAGGCCGGTGATCTTCTTAGTGCCGAGGAACTCGGAGATGTTGATGCGCTCGCCGTAGCGGCCGAACTCCTTGCCGCCGTAGTCGACGCAGTCGGCGCGCAGCTGGAGAAACTTACCGCAGTTGTTCTCCATGTACTCTGTCTCCTCAAGCTCGAAGGCTGATAGAGGACCCTTGTGGGCTGAGAGGACGATGGCACCGGGCTGGAAGATCATCCACAGATGCTCGAATGTGATGACGCCCTTTGCGACGTAATCCTCGAATGCCTTGATGGTGTTCCCAATTTCGTACTGGAGGATGTCATGTAGGATAGTCAGATGCTCCTTGGTGTTTGCATCGAGGTCCTTCTTGCCCATGTACTTGCGGAATTCCGTCCAGCGATGTACAAAGGGGCGGAAGGGAGCGTCGAACTCGAGACGTTCCAGCTCACAAGCGACGCCAGTGTAGCCGTCCAAGATCACGCCCAAGGCCTTCTTCAGCCAGGGGCTCTGAATGACGATGGAATCGGCCTCAAGCTTCTTCCGGCTGTCGTTGCTCTTGACGTTGCGCACCACGACGGCGTATTGCTCCGTCTCTTCGTTCTCGGCGGCTTCCTGCACGTCTTCCGGATACTTGTCTACCCATGTCCAGTTGCCATCGCTGTCTTTGGCGGACTTGTAGATGTTCTTAGTAGAAGCGATTGAGCCGAAGGGAGCGAGTGGCTTCTTGGGCTTCTCCTCCTCATCCTCATTGTTCTCCTCGCTGTTGGTCTCTGCTGAGGCCCCGTCTTTCTCGACGCTCTCGCCGTTGGTGGAGTCACCATTTGACTCTTTGCCGTTTGTGGTTGATATGCCATTCGTCTTCTCTTGAGCTGAGGTCTTGGTCTCCTTGACCGATTCGTCGACCATCTTCAGGCCTAAGGCAGCCGCTGCCGCTGCTGTTGTGCGTGCCATTGTGAATAATTTTTTGTCTAGATACAACGGGAAGAAGAGATGCTGATGAATTCGAACTGCAATCTCGGATTGAAGATAGTTTGCCGCACATATTTATCTTCATTGCGTTGCGATACCTCCAGCAAGTCACGCGTGCAAAGTGTAAGAAGTCTTTCTTTTGCCATCTCATCAAACCTGACAGCAAAGCGCCAGGCACCACGGCATCGTGCCCTAGTGGCTGCCTCAACAGGCGTCGAATCGGTTGATGCCTTTGATGCGCGTGGCATGTGGCAGTGACTCACCCTTGTTCACGGCTCATGGGCTGCCGACTGCGAAACGTATGCGTCTCTGTGTGGAAAAGAGAGCATGTTGCTGCCTACGATGCGCGGTTCGTCGCAGAAGCGTTGATCGAACGAAGAGGCCAATTGTCGCGCGAGATGTAAGCACTAGAGCGAGATGGGATCCCGCATTTGCAAGGCAGCAGAGCCGCCCTGGCACAAAGTTTGTTATCAGGATTCAGGCCGCCAGAACTGGCCGTCTTGCTCATTCGCCGATCTGTGGCAAACAAATTGTCTTTGGTGAACAGACGATTGACAGTGTTTCAACGTGCAAAAGAGTTGAGCTTCTACCCAGAACATGAAGTCAGAACAATGTTGATGTGATTGAGTCAACCTACAGAGGCCTCACGAAGGATTCTAGAAGAGACCTAGATAACGCTAAAGTCGCGTCAACTCCTGCAGGCAGACGAGCACTGCCTACAGCCCCGGTTCTTTCAAGCATTTCTGTTCGCTTCAAGCGAGACGGGGACGGGAAGCACCAGACCGATCGTTTGTTCAACCCCTGGAAGGGCTGAGCATCATAGCGTCACAGCGCCACATAAGCAGACAGAATAGCGGGGGAACGAGGACTGATATAGCTAGGATTATTGATTGAGACACGTGTAGCACGTCCAATGTTTCTTGTAAGCCCTGTTTGCATCCTGTTCCAGCCACGGCTCTCACATGTGGTGAATAGGTCCTGTTAACTTTGAGGCTCGCGATAAACAGACTACGTTATTGCGCATTGTCTTCCAAGAATAAAGTTACCGAATCCAGTCTGCTTCGGCTGTACCCGCGTATATACAATCTTTAACAGAGAAAGAGAAACAAAGCACGAACACAAGCTATCAAGTACTGTAAGTATGTACAGAGAATTCAAAACGCTGACCGCTAGCACTTTACTGACTGACCCCAGGCTCCTCAGTTCCTCACGCAAAACCTTCTTGGTTCTACTTCCAGCTAGTACTGACCGTAACCGCAGTAGAACAGCTTTGGGGCACAGTGTAGGATCTGTTCGGGTCGCTCTCCCATGTCGCGGTCCCATCCGACGCCACATTGATGAACTTGTACTCGAAAGTCGTCCCGGCCGGCAGCGAGACAGTGTAGGTCCACAAGTTATTCGCGCTGGTGTACTGCGCCGCCGAAAGCGCCGGGGCCGATGCCACATTCCAGTTGCCGAGTGCAGCAATGGATCCCGCGACCTTGATTGTCTGGCCCGGAACCGTTTTGACAATCTCATTGAAAGTAACAGCCACAGAACTGGCGATCGCGCAAGTGCCGCTTGTAGCTGTCGCCGCAGCGCTGGTCGTGCGTGTCGAGGACGGCGAAGTGCTTCCCCCACCGCCGATGGCGATGTCGGCGCACGTGAGGTAGACCTGGCCGGTCTGGAACGAGTTCCAGCGCAGCGATAGCAGAGTGTGGTTCGAGACATAGTCGGGAATCTTGATCTTCTTGGTGACGGTGTAGCCGCCGGCGATGGAGGTGTAGCATGACCCCAGCGCGTTGTTGTCGACGCCCTGGCACCCGCGTCGGCTGCTCGCCTGGAACGCGTTGCAGGTGAACCAGTCATTCCGCCAGCACGCCTGCCCGGAGGCGCAGTCTGGGCTATAGTCGCAGCTCTGGCCCGAGACGTCGGTGCACTTGAGGGTTCCGGCCTGGAAGCAGTTCTCGGCGGCCTGCTTCTCGTCGTCGGTGGGGAGGTATCCGGGTGTAATGAACTTATCAACGATGGACTGGTCCTGGCAGATGCGGTAGCTGAACATGCCGCCGTGGTCGCCATTGTTGTCGACACACCACTGGACATCGACGGTCTGGCCGCGAGTGTAGCTTGCGACTACATTGCTGCCCCAGTTGCTTCCGGGCTGGTTATAGTCGACGCTGACGCGAGCATTGTAGCCGCAGGGACCGCTTCGTCCGACAGTGGCGGCCGTGAGGTCCGGCCACGCGGAGACAGGCTCCCGGATAGTGCACTCGGGGCAGGAATCTATGCCGGCCTGCCGATGTTTCGTTAGCACAATACCGAAGCAGTCTTCGATACTACTTGTTGGGTTCTTACCTCATGGCCGAGACGAGTGCGGCTAGAAGGGATCGTCAGATATCCATGTCCATAAGCAGAGGAGAAGAAGGTGGCAACTGCCAAGGTCGTGGATGACTTCATGTTGAACGGCTTGCAGGCGTCCTGTGAGATGTTTGACCGTTCAAGATGTCAACTTACAACTACTTTCGGAAGCGGCGCTCCATGTCTCTCACAACATCAGTCTGAGAGGGATCATCTTGGCTTTATATGCCAAATTCCACGTTGGGTATCCCACAGCGTCGCAGCTCATAGCATACTCACATGCTTCTATGATGCTATTAGACATCTCACGATCCAACTTGCCCTTGCTACTCCCACCGGCACACATCATATCAAGCAACGCCGAAGTACCTCCAACCGAGACGGCCCTACCCGTAAATGTCTCCCCGGACCTAAACTCGACCTGGAAGTCCGGGGCATCTCCAAAAAATCATGCAGGCGATGGCGGGGTAGCAAAGTTCTGTTAGTGCCGGCTATCATATCTCCAACTGGCAACCACCGCGGGGTGAGTAGGCCCGTTGTGTGGCTAGCCATCCGAACACCTACCTGCAATGGTTCACTTTGTAGACTTTGCATGCGCCCAACCCCGCGGTCCCTGATGTAGCACATGCAACACAAGAGAGTTCCTGATCTTGGCATGGTCGATGACACCTTACGCCCACGTTCAAGGCGGAGTTGTGCGGAGTCTTGAGGAGTTGAGGTTGCATTCCGCCCTGTACATCAGATGACGGGTCACGACGACCTCAAATTTGCATAGAAGGCCCGAAGATGAGGTCCTTCTCAGATCATGGTATGCACTCTGATCAAAGTCAAGCTCTACCGCTGTCATATAAACTGCCGAAAAACGCCCGGTTCTTGCATACAGGCCATCGATCGCAGGCTAACCCATCCTATTATTGGTGGCTTAATCGAGTAAAACTCCCAAGCTTGTGAGGTGTGGTGGTTTGCATCAGGTTTCCTGCCTGTTCCTGTCTGATCGATTCGGTTCTCATTACTGTCGTAAAGCTTGCATCACATAGCTTTGTTTGTTCTGAAGATATGATCATGTTGGTATTGCTTCAATCAATACAATTTGAAAGCACACGCACTTCAGCAACACCGGAACCTTTAATTACTACCTTACGTCAGTTCTTCAACCGTCAATAACACACATACTTCGGACCGATGCATCGCTGATCATACATTTAGTGGTGGGTGTAGTTATCAACATCTCATATTAAGCATAGCATTATTACTTAGTTCCAAATAATTACAACAGCACCTGGGCCCGTGACAAATTCACCTTATCACTGGAAACCTGAGCTTAGTTTACAGATCTAGGGGGCAACATAGATGAGAATCGCGATGCTAAGAATACCAAACTCTTACGTATGTTGAGTCTACTCAAGGAATATAATATCTTTGTGTTTCGGCTCTGATCACATATGGTTCCTGGTTCGCCCATGTGTGGGTTTAGGATTTCTTAACTCCTGCTTGTATCTATCGAGTACGAAACTCAAGTCAAGCCCTCCTTCTCGAGCTATCTACTACCCCGCTCATACCTCTAGCTTCTATAACGGACCGACTTCATGGTGGTGTTGACGTATGAAATGCCATTGAGAAGTTGGTGTTGTGGCGGATCGATAGTCTATGTAGACAACAGCGTGTGTTGATGACTATGCTCCATACCTACAGCCGCCAACAATTCTCTTACCTCATTTCGATGGTATTTGCCCAGATCCTTGTGGCGAATACTTTCGGCACTTCTCAGGCGTCCGAAAACTACCTCTAGGCTCTCCGCTCGAAGGCACCGACATCTCCAGCAATACGAGCAACCCATCCAACTATTCTCGCCGTATCCCACCTCGAAAAATATCCTGATGCCCTGTTCTAAAGATGACGTGCTGTTAAAAAATCTTTTCCGTCGCTGTGGCTGTCTCAAAATCTTAGTGACGTTCGTGGACTTCGGCGCTTGATACCAAGGTATTGCATGCATGATGCACTGATAGTCACCATGGGCTGCCAAGCTCGTAAATAGAACCACTGCCGGTGTTTTCTTTTCTTCACAAGGCGCATGAATGTTCCTGTAGCGTTTGTCATTTCTGGCCACGTGCTAGGATGCCTGCAGGAGCAACATCAATCCAAGCTTACATCCATTCGTGGGAAGCATTTCTTGCACTGTTTCCAGCAACGCCCCTAAGCCTGATTCTTGTTTTCCATCACACCTGAACGTCCAGGCAAACGTAGCTTTGCGCTCTGAAATACAAACTTCATCATTAGATGAAGGAGAAGTCATCACTATGGCCCTCTTGGCTGCTGATTATAAGTTGAGATCCCTAGGTTCTAGTACTTCAAGTATTCTACAAACACCAAACGAACAAAAACCCACCCAATAGCAGCAAAGCTACAGCGGGTAAGAGCCGCGGTATGATACTTCATGTTGTGTGAAACACTACGTCATGCAATGCATCAATTTGCACTCTAATATAGATCACTTGGCGACGGCGTCTCTCATCGCGAAAGTCCCAATCTTCATAAACAAACCTAATTACGGGAAGGGAGAATCATCAATATAGTTGACTTTCAGCACAGACAAGTATGCGGTATCTATATACGGCTCTGCCGAGGAGCGATACCGAGGCTTGAACGCAGCTCAGACTCTTTTCGGGACTTTGCGACATCTGTGTTCGGGGCGCGGTCGCTGGCTGGCTGGTGTGTTTTCTCACTGCTTACATCTCGCCGCGGCTTCCCTGCTTTAACGATGTTGATGGGAACGAGATCCTAGAATCCCGCTGCCGTATTTTGAGTTCACCTAATTCTACTCACCCGCGCTGACCAATGATAGCGGTTAATGGGAGCACAGTCGTAAGCTTTCCGGGATCTATCCCATCGTGCGCAGTTGTCACCCCAGCGTTTTCGCTCCCATCATCCCAAATAGGCATTGTGTTGGCCTGAACTGGCCTGTACGAGCCTGCTTGATATCCCTCGAACCAAATGAGTACATCCTGACCTTGCGTTTCTCATGTTGAAGCTTTCAGTAAAAATGTGTCGCATCGAATTTTCCGGTAGGTCCATGTGTATTATTTTCTGCCTTGGGCGGCAGGTCGGGGCCTTATTGTGACTGGAAGCTATGTCAACAAGTACATACACTCTCCTAGCTTGATGATATGTATAGTTTCTGTTGGTGCGTTTCCATAATCCATTCAGCCTCCATGGCAACGAGAAGTCCAGCATTACCCCTTATCAAGCCAATCTGAAAGTCATTCTCGACATGACCGGTGTCCCAGTAGCTCACTGTCTAACGCCTTTAGCACTTTTGCATCTGAACTTCTAAAGCCGTTAGAAGAGTGCCCGACCGTTGGGCCGCCATACTTTCAACTAGCGGAATTTTGAGACAAGCCACTGGAATACGAGCTCTGGCGATCATTCGTAGCCTCCAAGTCACTTTCCTATCGCCAAATCGCTTACTCTCTGGTATCATCTCTTGAGCGCGATGTTGCTTCGCGATTCATGTCATTGCCGCCTTAGCCGGTATATACTTACCCGCGATCCTGAACACCTGCGGCGAGCATGAGGCGCCCGGAATTGACTCCTTTCAAATTGCAGTGCTAGGTGGTTAATTAACCTGGTCCAGCGCACGTACTTAAGGCCGTCGATGTCAATAGTGGAACCGGCGCCGGTCCGGCAAATGTCAACTGATTCCTGGTTCTCGGGTCAGTCCTGATCGAAAAGGAAAAACAACGAGGTTCGAGTCATTGTTTCCTGGGAAAATGGGTCGTTGGCCGCGGTTTATCAAGGACCCATCCGCGCGCGGCACGCCCACATTACGACTGGGAGTCCAAACAAGCACGGACAAGGCGATCGACAATCTGCTCGCGAGAAAAAGCCTCAGGGATGTATCAAGAGATTTGCGCAGGCTTTTTCTGCCAGTCTTTGGGGGCAATCGAGGGCAGCCGTGGAGCCCATGATGCCCATGCAAAATTGTCTCCGGGGTTCGCTTACGACACAGCAGGGGCGTTTTCTCGGAATGCTGCCAGATCCGGTTCTGCGCTTACATTTGACGCCTCACATCTAGCCGGGATTTCGGGGACTTAGGAGCTGGCCGTGATTGTGAATATGTGATGAACGATGGATTCTGGTTGGAGTTTGCATAGCAATGGTGTTTTGATATCTTTTCTATGTTTATCGATTACACTATGTTCCTTCTATCATCTAGATCGTTTCTTCATACCATGTTATTGACCCTGTGCCGTCTATCATGGCCCGTAGTGTCTGGAATCGAGTGATTGTCACCCGTATCATCGGGGCCGTTGTGTTGAATAACGTCCATTTCAAGGCCGTCGTCCTTGCCGACGATGTTCTCGGCCGAGCTGGCATAGTTCTTCCGTGGCCCGGAACTGATTGTCTCGACGTTTGTTCCTCTGGTGCCTTTCGTCCCCCTGCTGTTCTGCTTGTCTGGATTCGAGAGCCCGAGTGTAGATTTTGCCGCATGCCATGATCCCATGATGGCCGCGTCAAGCACCGGTAGTGAGGCCGTCACGATGCCCATGGATATGTCGAGCACCGTCCATCTCAGGATGATGGTGTAGTCCCAGAAAATGTCAGTTGACGTGAATGGCTGCAGCTGTTGCAACAAACCGCCAGTGACGGTCAGCCCTCCCGCAGCCCAGATGATGAAGAGCCTAATCTTCTTGCCTCTATCAATACGAATGCTCCACAAGATAATGATTGGTGTTGCTAGGAGGAGAACACTCTGCACCACGTGGATGATGCTGAGGACCTTCGCACTGAGGAACTGGTTTCCACACGTTGCTGGCTCTGCCAAGGCTCCTGCAAACTCTCTGTCCCAAACAGCTCGTGGCGGATTGCAGAGGAAGATGCTCCAGAACAAGGCGGCAATAACATACGCAACAACCGTGACGAGGAAAACATCCGCAAGAATTCTCCACGTCCTGTACGCCGTGTCGACGAGCCTTCTGATGAAGAGAGTGATGGATATCTTGATGATGCCGACCGTGGGGTAGTATAGCAGTCGGCAGATGGTGAGGTAGTAGGAGTAGAACTGGTAGTCGTCGTACGTATTCTCCCAGGTGTGTGTGCCGCCTCCTGCGTCGACGACGACGAGGATCTGTAGTATCGGATATACCACTGCGAGGGTTGCCGCCGCTATGATAACCCAGTCGTCCCATCCAAACTTGGTTTGTGCTCCCCGTCCGCGAACCCAAAGTCTTCCTGCTGTTGGTACGATGATGGCGAGTAGGACAATAATCATTCCTGCGATGATGGCGCCCTGTTTAGACTCGTGAACGGCGTTCGCGGGCTCCTTTGCGGCGAAGAGGTAACCCAGACTGGGGTCGAGCGTCGTAACGCCATACTGTCGGTAGATACCCCTGATGATGTTGTAGTCCCTCGTGTTGTTTGGCGGTTTCCCAATCTTCGCTGAGGTCGTTGCGTTCGACATGGCGAAGGGTAGGGGGTTTGGATTGGAGGTCAGGGGCGGGTCGGACTCGTGGTAACGGATCACCCGTATGGGGAGGGGGAGGCCGGGCCGCTTTATGATATGAATTTGATCAGATGGAAGGTAGCAACATGGCGGAGAATCTGATGTATCATGGCGCGCAGTCTAGGTTGGTTTCACATCGTGGTTATCAAGATCAAATTCCTTGATGAGTGATGGCCTAGCTCGCGTTAACCCCATATGGTGTGGATTAAGTCCCGGGAACGTGGGATGGGCTGAAAGGTCGAAGACTCATAGACTCGCAGACTATCCTTAGTACCTAGTATAATTGCAAAAGGTGCGCAACAACAGTGAACAGCGGGCGACAGCATTGGGAAAGACGAGCCGCTGTTTTGGCTCGTGTTCCACCAAGGCCCGCGATGGCCATCCAGCTCATAAATTAAGCGCAAGGTCAAGGTTGTCTTAGAGCGTGCAGCTGAAGTGGAGGGTGAGGCGATCTCGAGTCATGGCCCCTCCTTCACCCTATGCCGTCGGCAGCCTACCTTGCGACGCGAACGCCGGAAGGCCTGCGAGTTCGCGGCACGGGTCCAATGGTGAGCCCTGGGCGTCAAAGATCGGACAAGCCCATAGCTGCAGTCAGAAACTCTGAAAAGAGGTTCCTCAGCATTCCGGGATTTCCCCCTTCTTTAGCACGTCACGCCTCTGCCTTGTGCAGATGGACTGGCAAGGGGTGACTTGCGGGCAGAGGCTTGGCTGCGATCGGTTGGGAAACTCGTCCGTCGAGGGGAACATTCTCTCTCCACGGTGTTGGACCCAGTCTTGCGCAGTTCCCCGAGATTGCGCTCAAAAGTTCGTTGCTCCAATAATTGCAATTTGGAGAGTCCTGTTTGGCTTGATCCGAACCAACACAGAAACGACCTAAGCTCCGGTCGTTTAGCGTATATTAACAGTAGTTCTCGTTCGCAAGCCCTGCTTTAGAACTCGTTCTCGCCCTTTCTTTACTCGTCTGATGATGATGCGCGTTTGACCTGTTTGTGTGTTCCAGCCAGATAAATCTGTGCGCATCTAGCGCGCTTCTCTTCTCCGGTTGTCTGGCGTGTGTCAAACTGCTTCAACGTCCCGCCAGCCACAGGAATCATGGTCCGATTTGCGGGTTTCTCCGCGCTCGCGCTGGCCGCAACAACGGTCACGGCTACTTCAAGTGCCGACAGTAGCTGCATCGGCGTCAACGCCGTCAGCTCCACGTGCCGACCTTCAGAGACGTTGCACAGTCGAGAATTCTTCTACGTCGGGGGCCAAAGCGCACCAGACCCCACGGGCAACATCACCATCGGCCAGCTCTACGTCGAGAAGCTGACCCCCATCCTCACGCTACGCTCGACCCCCTTGGTCTTCATCCACGGTGGCGGCATTCCGGGAACCACATGGCTCAATACCCCCGACAATCGTCCCGGGTGGGCGACCTACTTCCTGAAGCAAGGCTATCAGGTTTACCTCGTCGATGCTAACAGCATCGGCCGATCCACGGCCAACAACGCCGCCAACTTCACCATGGCCGTAGGCATGTCGGCCGAGTTTGTCGAGATGGGCTTCACCGGCGTCAAGAACTACAACACCTACCCCCAGTCCCAGCTTCACACCCAGTGGCCCGGCACGGGTATGCGCGGCGATCCCTTCTTTGACCAGTTCCAGCAGAGCTTCATCCCATACACAACCAGCCAGGTCTCCCAAGAGCTGGCCATGCGTACCGCTGGGTGTGAGCTTCTTTCCCTCATTGGTGCACAGTCTTACCTCGTCTCCCACTCCTTGGGCTCCAAGTTCGCCATTGGCATCTCCAATGATTGTCCCCAGCATCTCGCCGGGAACATCAATGTTGAGCCTTCCACGATTCCCTTTCGCGCGTACGGGTATGGTCTGACCAGTACCGCGGCTAATCCATGGGGTCTGACGAACACCCCCGTCGACTACGAGCCGGCGGTATCCAGCGCCGCGGAACTCAACGCCACTGTCGAGTCTGTGGGTGAGCCGTCGTTGGCTCATCGTAACTGCTACCTTCAAAAGGAACCTGTCCGGAAACTTCCCAAGATCGCCAGCGTACCATACCTGGCCTTGACGGGAGAGGCCAGTGTTCATATTACCTACGATCACTGTATCATCGACTATCTGAAGCAGGTGGGTGGCCAACCGGAGTGGATCAAGCTTAGTGAAATTGGGATCAAGGGCAATGGCCACTTCATGCACCTTGAAAAGAACAATCTCGACATCGCTCCTTTGGTCCACAAATGGATCAAGAAGCAGCAGCAATGGTGGTGGTGGTGATGATTGCGCCTTGCTGTGCAACAGCTGGACTGGAAGAGATGTGATACCTGAGTATGTAAATAGCATAAGCATACCTGTACATACACGCAGTAATCGTAATCCAATACCCTCAGCATGCAAAGGCCGCTAGACTGGATTCTCGGACATTTAACTCGCCACCACAAACCTATCGGACTCTAGCTCGCGCCGTCTCTGCCTGCCGGACCAAAAGTGACCGCGCATATAAGCGCAGAGTCAGATCATCTTCATTATTTATGTTGCCGCGCTGCATATTGTGGATGTCGCAACATAATGCTGTGAACTCTGCTAAGACGGGCCGCGGCTTCCCTACTATTTTTAGGTTCAGGACAAGGAAGTTTACCCACTGGAGTCTTTCCCCGGGAATAGTGAAGTTCCCACTTTGGAACAACTCGATCCAAGCTCCTCGGCAGTCTGAAGACAACACAACAGGCCAACAGCTGTTTCATCGACAGCTGCCACTTGCTGGCCTTGCGGCATCGAGTGTTTTGGCCCCCAGGAACGCTTCTCATGCCTAGCTTCAGTTTTACAACAGCTATAAGAAGCACATGTCTCGAAACGTATGACAATGTGAGCTGCTGATCTGATCGGCTGATGCTGGCGGTACAGGTACATAAAGGTGGGAAACCCATGTGTCAATCCACCTGCGGCTGAGATAGGAAACAGTATAGAGGATTGAATTCGGTTGATCACAATTGCTATCTAGTAGGGTACGATCTCCTTAACCACACAATCTCCTTATGGGTAGTAATCTTGCGGAACGTCGATAACACCGCTCATCCAGGTAGACCAGTCCTCGGGCTTAGTCTCATCCGCACCATACTTCAAGTGAGATATCAGCAGTCTGTATCCGCCCTTCAACATAGGTATTGGGACGGACGCAGTCTCGACGTCCCACAACCTTGGAGCAGGCCAGGAGTCAAACAAGCTGGTCACCGGCGCATTGTTGTAGTTAACGTACAGGTTGCCCAATAGCTCGGCACCTGCGACTGTGCCGTTGACAGGCTGCGCCGTTTTGGTATAGTTCAGAGGTCTGTTCTGATTGAATCCATACCACGTCGGCTTGAAATTTGTGTCTGCGCGAACAACATCCAGCCTCTCAATTCGCACGGGCTGCATCCCGGCATAGTAAAGTGTCAGCTCGGCGGGATCAATTTTGATGTAGTCCTGAATCCCGAAGCCGTTGGACGTGACAAGCTGTGGAGCACCGAACACGGGATACTCGGTTACGGGTATGAGGACGTTAGGCGGCACGGGGTCGGTTCCCAGACTCGGAGCAGCTGTGTAGTTGTACCCTGCACCTTGGTATGGGATGGAGAGCTTTTCATTTCGGTTAGAGGAGATGGAGATAAAGCCTGAGTAGAAAGGGATCATGAAAGCTCGGAGATTTTGCGGCGGGAAGATCTCCACGGAAATATTCTTGCTCTCACCCGGACCAAGAGTCACTGTAGAACCTTCTGGGAAGTTGATGGTTGCTGCGAAAGGGAGAGAGGCCAGCCGTTGATAGACGTTGCTGAAGAATCCCACTTGGTCTGGGACGTCCGGATTAGGGTAGCGAGCCATGCCAGGGGCTGGGGTGTGACCCAGATTGTACTGTGTGGCTTTGTCTGATGGGTTTGCAATAGTGATAGAGTAGCTGGACTTAGCAACGACCTCATTGGGACCGAGATCAAACTGGCCAGGCGAGATGAATGAAGGATAGAAGATCGCATTATAGGCGTCGACCAAGCCGGCGCCCTGATGGACAGGGGGCGAAACATCGTCACGGGTGGCGCGAGTCGTTGGCTTCGAGGTTGACTGAAGACGGTTGAGTATGTCGGTAACCGTGAGCTCTGGGAAGCGTGACTTCACGAGTGCGAGGACACCAGCAAGGTACGGAGTAGCCATTGAGGTGCCGCTGGCCAGCGCCCATCCTGATGCAGCAAGCGGCCAGGTCGACAGAATCTGACCGCCAGGCGCACTGATCTGAGGCTTCAGGCTGAAGTCCCACACAGGTCCTGGAAAGAAAGGTTAGAATGTCTCATATTCTCATGATCTTTTGGCTTGTGAACTTACCTGGACTGCTAAAGTTGTTCATCTGGCCCCCCCACGCTTGCCGAGTAAGCTGGGGAACAGCAGTTCGAAACGTTACAGAGTATCCGCCTTTCAGAGATCCAACCTGAATCTTGTTGTTGGTCGTTGTACCGAAGTTACGCGCAGCATTTGGCAGGGTTGCACTGAATCCCTCCAAAAATGGGTTGTCAAGAACGTCCTTGTCAGGGTACGTCAGGATGTTGTTGAAGCCAGCGGTTGCTGCAACATCCTGAATCAAGGAGAGGCCGCAAAGTCCACGTCGAACCACGATCACGTAATTTTCCTTTGAACCGGTGACTTTGCTTGCAATGGCATCATAGTGGGCCGCCCGGCATCCGAAGTTGCCTTGGACGCCCCCATCGCCGACGTGCACCGCCGTTAGCGTGCGGTTCAGGGGGAAGGGGTAAAGACTTCCATAGCGAATGACCTCGCCATTTGAATCGATCAGCTCAAACGTCTGGAAAAGAGTGTTCTCGATAGAGCCGACTGCAATGGCAGCAGGACTGTTGGCAGGCGCGTTGACTGCAAAGGGGAGGTTGGCTCCGTCATTGCCCGCAGCAGCTACCACAGCAATGCCGCTGTCCGTCAACTTCTGAATAAGGACGTGATAAGGGTCGTTTGGCGAGTTGCCGACCGAGGAGAAACCGCCGATGGACATGCTGATGATCTGGGCTCCATCGCTGGCGGCCCGCATCATCGCGGCCACGAGTACGTCGCTGCCGACGCCGCCGGAGCAGCCGAACACGCGGTACATACCTAACGTTGCTTCGGGTGCGACGCCGACCATGTCTTTGAAGGTATCGTTGGAAGATGATTCCATGGTGATGATACCTGATGCCGTTAGTCTGGCCCTGGTATCGAAAGTTAAATCACAGCTTACCTGAGACGTGACTGCCATGTCCACCCCCAACACACGAAGCCAGAGGATCTGAATCTTCAACTGGAGTGCCGTATCCGTCGTAGTTGTCACCAACGAGATC